TAGGCATATACAGTACTTTGTTTTCTTGGCTGACTAATTATTAGTTTGTTTTCACAGGTGGTACTTTCAAACCCAACCAAGAAATGGATTGCTTATGTTGGATACTTTCTTCGGTCATTCACATTTTCGTTCGGTCATTCACATTGTAAGACTACATTTATAAACTTGTATGCAAAAGGAGAACAATAAGAAGGCCCAAATAATTCAAGTGTAAAATGGAATCTGAACATTTGGTTCTAATAACTCTAAATGTGGAAAGAATGTTAATTATGGATCTTATATAATTTTTTAACACGTCTATCAAACAAAAACCAAATCAAGAGCCCACAATACTTTTGTGTTTAAATCACCGTTAACATTGGAAGTCGTAGAGATTTGAATACACGACTCATTGGTGGAGCCAATCCCAGGTTGGCTATGTCACGGAGCACACCTAATATTATTTGGGTGGGGGGTGGGGGGATATATGATTTGAATTCTAGACATTTATGCAATATAAGAAATTTATTTGGATACATTACTTAAAAATATAGGCAATGAATGTTTGAAATTATTTCGAGATACAAAAACATGTCCCCGGTTGTTTATACAAAAGAAAACTTGTATTAATATTTTATTTTTCTTTATGAATTACGGGAGTATCTTTTTATTTTATGAATTACTTGAATATTAATTTTTTTAAAATCTTTATTGATATACTTATATCGTATAGAAGGACACACTTGTTTTGATCTTCTGGCTACATTACTAAATCGATCTCTTAGTGAAACGAGGTCTGATACCATATCATAACCCATTTGATTCAATAATGAGGATTATTTAATAAGGAAGGTTAATTATTAATTTTATATCTCATTCTAACTAGTAAATGACAAGGGTGAAACTTTTGTTATTTATAATTAATAAAGTCTGAATAGGTTTTGTAAAATAAAAGTTGGGGGTGTAGATCACTACATTACTAAATTTTTCGATCATTTTCTTACAAATTTTTTCTTGTTGAATTTTTCTTACATATTTATCATCTAAGAGAATATGGCTAAATTACACATTTGGTCACTCGAATTACATAAATCTTTCACGTTTGCCACTCGAATGACTTTACTTTCATATTCACCACTAACTTTACGAATCGTTTCACCGTAGTCACCGACCGTTAGTCTCCGTTAACTCCGTCAGTTTTTTGATGACGTGACAAACGGAATTGCTGACTGGACCGTTAACTTTATGACATGTCAATTAAAAAATTAAAAAATAGACAAAGCAAGGAGAAGTGGGCCCACCATATTAAAACACCCAACGAAAGAACGACATGTCAGTTCTTCGCCACCGCCTCGCTCCGCCAACCCTTCGAAGACCTTCGCAAAGCTTCCAGACCGGACTGCCTCGTCGCCAACATATTCCTCCTCTGGTCCACTGATTTTGCGGGAAAATTCAGAATCCCCATACTAGTCTTCCACGGCACTGGCTTCTTCTCACTCTCCGCCACCGCGAGACGATCTGGATGCACGAGCCTTACAAAAGGTTCTCCTCGAATTCAGAACCGTTCCTGATCCCAAACCTCCTCGAAGAAATTTCGATGACCTGGAAGCAGCTGCCGCCTGCCGAATACGCGAGGTAGGATGGGGAATCGGGGTTCGGGAAATTGATGAAATCGGTCAGGGAGTCAAAACTAAAATGCTACGGCGTGATCTCCAACAGCTTCTACGAGTTCGAGCGGGATTATGCCGTACTGCAGAGCCTCTCTCGGGAGACGAGCTTGACACATTGGTCCCCTATCTCTTTGCAATAACAACAGGTAAAAGGAATCAGAAAGGGGGAAAGAAGCTTTAAAGTGCCTGAAATGGCTCGCTTGTAAAGGAATCGGGTCGGTCATTTACATTTGATTTGGGAGCATGTCGACGTTCAGGGCAGAGAAATTAAGGGAGATTGAGATCTAATTGGAAGGTTCGAGAGGGACGAGAGCGACGAGGAAGAATTGTTGCCTCAAGAATTTGAGACGAGATTGTGAGGGAAAGGGATGGCGACGTGGTCAATGTTCATCGAGAAGCTTCTGACGGAGGTGGCGGTGGGGGCGAAGGAGTGGGTGAGGCTGCTAGGGCGGTGAAGAAGGGGATGCTCTAGGGATGGCGGCGGGGAGGCAGGGGGATGAGAAATGATTTTTTTAAATGTTTACTTTTTATTTCATTGGTTGTTTTTAATATGGCGGACCCACTCATCTCCTTGCTTTTTGTCTATTTTTTTAATTTTTAATTGATATGTCATTAAGTTAACGGTCTAGCCAGCAATTCCGTTTGCCACGTCATAAAAAAACTAACAAAGTTAACGGAGACTAACGGTCGGTGACTACGGTGAAACGATTCGTAAAGTTAGTGGTGAATATGAAAGGAAAATAATTCAAGTGGCAAATGTGAAATATTTATGTAATTCGAGTGATCAAATGTGTAATTTAGCTAAGAGAATATATTAGAAATTGAATCGAAAATCATTCCAAAAAATTAGTGATATAACATTTTGCAATAAAATCATGATTGAATGTTCAATTTTTTCGATATTCCCTTCTCACCGATCAATACTGTAGGGCTTATAAAAATTTTGGTTTAAACTTTTTTTAATGGATTAAACAATAATTTAGTGGCTCCTGGGTGTCCCCACCGGGAGAGAGAGAGAGAGAGCCTTGTAACTAGCGACCGTTGTGAACTTTTAATTCTTACCGTTTGTTCGTCACCGCTTCGGTTGAGTGAACAGTAAGAAAATACAACCACTTTGTTTTTTTTGGGCAATAAGATGTGTTTAGTTAAAGCGGTTAAAGTACGGATGACAAATGGCAGAGCCTAGTTACCTATTTCTACCCCATCTTCGATGGAATGAGTTACTGTACAATAAGATGTTTAAATAGCTACATCTAATTAAAAATTTAAAATAACTTTCATACGTAATATATTTTATTAACATTATACCAATACTATTTTTAGTTTTAATGGAGGTGTATTCGTAACAATTATTAAAACTGTGTCAAAATTTTTGTACCGATAAAACTTGAATTTCTCACAAAATTTCCAGATTGACACACTTTCCTTATACTTTGGTACGCCCATGACTACTTTGTTTCACTCCCTGTAAAATGTAAGAGAATTAAACCAACCACATCTAAATGGCTCATGCATCCCTGGTGGACTGGACCTAGATAGTTGTTTCGAGGACTATAGTGAGGTTAACATCGTCATTTGGCACAGGGCTATTTGGATAGAGTAAATTTTCTTACTATATAGATTTTTTATCAACACATTATTATCCAATACTTAAACTAAGTGCTAATTGTCATGAACCAGTTGCTCCCAATAACTCGAGTTATTGGGACCAACTGGTTTATGACATGGTATCAGAGTCTAGAACCAAAAGGTCACGTGTTCGAATCTCCACGACCCCCAATATTAACCGTTGTCTTTCAAGCACATGGTATGGTGGGCCTGTGCAAACTTCAAGCCCATGGGTTGGTTTTCGTTTGAGGAGGGCGTGTTAGAGAGTGGTATAAGATCCAGCATAACTTTCTCCCAACAACTTGAGTTATTGGGACCAACTGGTTTATGACACTAATTAAGTATCTCCATACGAGCAAACTTTAACTTTTTTTTGAAGGGAATGGACAAACTTGAAATAACAAATATGATGAGGAATATAATCAAGATTGTAAACCAAAAATGGGGAAAATATGTTAAAATCTCATCCAATATTTTCAATCATTTCACTAGGTGGTAATGTTGATATTAAGTTTGTGCTTCAATTATGCTATCATTCAGTGTCCATTATTCTTGTGTTAGACTAATCTATCACAGTTAGTTGGAAGTTCATATCCAATTCAAAATCCATCCAATTTGCATGAAAATTATGGACTTCCCAATTCCCATCCTTTAAAAGATTTAGCCATTTGCTTCAAAATGGTCAAGGTTAGACTAGTACTATAGTCTAAATAAGCATGCTCTAAGCAAGTTTATTTGTAACTTTACATAATATCTTATCTCCCTAAGTAATCCAGCTATGCACAACTCAATTATTGTACAATTAAGAGGATGGTGGGCTAGGAATAAGCTCTGACTTCCTATAATCGACCAAGTGACACCATGGACCATAAGTGGCCAATGTTTCCATTATTAAATAAGAACTTTTCAATAAATATAAAATTATAAATCACTCATGGGTAGAGGTATTTGCCCACAATTGGGCCCTCTACATTGATAATGACTCCCCAAATAATTATAAGGAATCCAATATACACACATACATGTCATAATTATAAATGAACATAAATAATCTCTTATGATTAATCATATATTTAAATTTGGTGGGACATTAATGAGTAGGTTGAAATTACCTAATTGATGAAACTTATTGATCTCCAAAGATTTTCTTAATAAAGCCTAGCTACCCAAAGATTTCTCTTTGTTTTCTTCAGTGGAACATCAAGTTGGAAAAGGATAATTAGGTGGGAGCAAAAGATGATTTAAGCTTAAGATGGGAGAAAATGACAAATTTAGTGCATTAACTTCGAACCATTAACAACTAATAAATGGGGCAGATTACCCAACCATGATAGCAAAGCAAGAATGTCTATCCAGAAAAAAAAAGAGGAGTTCAGAGAAGATTTTGATTTCATAGACTCTTTTTATATGTTTTATTTTAACTCTAATCCACAGGAATTATTTTCATAAAAAAAACTTAGTTAGCTGTCTTAGATTTCATTGACTAATTTACTCACTGTTTTGCATTTTTCAATTTATATAATTCATGGGAGGAAATCCATGTTCTCTGCTTTTTTATTTTTTTTATTTGCATTGATCAAATGGTTACATTTAATATCATGGTATTCTTCCCCCAGATGCACCCCAAAATGTTTTCTTTTTTTGGTCTCTGGAGAACAGCTGGGATACATGTGAGAAATATCCAACACTGAAAGCTACATTACTCATATTAAGCATATAAAAATCAATCTTACATGTTAAAATCTGAATTCATTAAGGATTGCAAGATTAATCTAGGAGGATGAAACTGAACCATTATTTCCAGTTAAGCTAGTGAGGAGTTTTTACTAATCTCAAATTGATTTACGTCTTGCGAGTTAACTGAGTATGTTGTTTTTCTAAATAGAGTTTCAAGTGATCTTTGAAATATTTAACAGGTGGATTGTCCATACTTCATACACCTGACCCAAGTCACATTTGTAACGAACATTAGTTAGATTCTCATATTCAATCGAAAAGTCCATCTCACTCATATTTTTTCGATAGAGTAATTTTACATTAAAATTATGACGGACTCTCTAACCTATATTATATAAAATTTATGAGCTTACTAAAACCGATCTAGTTGGTATTACAATTTAGATTTTCTTGAAAAATTCAATAGATTGAGGATAAAAGATTTATAGATGGGTTGCTGTAGGGTTGTTTGCTGGTTACTGTTCCCTCACTCTAAGCATCCACCGCCTCTCCAACAACAACTACATCTCTACTCTGCTAAACTGACAAAAGATAACTGAAAAAGAACAAAAATACAAATGTACGTAACAAAGTAAAAGAAACCGAAGCTTCTTTCTCAAACTTTTGGATTTATTTAATCACCAATAACCAGTAACCAAAAATAAAATAAATCGATCAAATCCCGTGTAACAATTGTTAGAAAAACACCAAAAATGAAAAAATATTAATATTATTATTCGTCATCACTTTCAAAAAGGGTGTTACATTACAAGGGGCTGAAAGGGAGAGAGAGAAAGAAGAATTATAGACAGAGGAAGAAGTAGAAGAAGAAGAAGGAGAAGCAGAGCACAATCCAACATCCCAGTAGATCTGCTCTGCCGTCCCTCTTCTCCTCCCGTCTTCTCCATTCAGCTTTCTTCTTTTCTATTTGGTAACTGTCACTTGGGTTTGTCGACTCTGCCACCGGCTTCCGCACAAATTTTGATTACCAATATATTTCATTTTATGACCGTTTCCACTCCACCAGCAGAGAGACTGTTTCCACTCTGTTTTTTTGTTTCTTCGCATTTGGAGCGGGGGAGAGTTTTCGGGTCCGTTTTTTCTTTTCTCACTCATTTGCCATTAGGGATGGTGAATTCATCGGCGAGACTGTGATTGAGTTGGTGGTGGAGCTCCGGTGACTGTCGGCCACTGGACTTCACCGGCGGTGGAGGGGTTTAGAGGAAAAACACAATGTTCCGGCCAGTGAGGTGGCGGAGTGACAAGAACAAGATCAAAGTGGTCTTCAAGTTTCAATTCCATGCAACTCAGGTTCCTTTCCTTCTTTCTTCTCCTCGTTTTGACGGCAAAGTTCTGAGCTTTTTCTGGTTTCTGATCATGGGTGGTGATGGGTTTAATGTGGGTTTCCCCCTTTGTCCACTCATTTGTCGTGTTTGGATGCTGGGAAAGCAGAACGGTGGTGAATTTTCCAGCATTTCCCTAATTTCTCAGTTTTCTGAATTTTCTCAATGCCTTTGTGTTATGGGTTAAGAACAGAGCTCATTCATTACATTAAATAAAAATGCCCCACTTCTCTCCATTTTCAATTTTCTGGCTGGGTGAAGGAAAATTTGCAGTACAATTTGAAGAAGAACGATAACACTTTCTCTTTGATCGGTGGAATTTTCAGGTGTCACAGCTGAACGTGGACTCGCTAGTGGTCTCTGTGGTTCCTGGAGATGTTGGAAAGCCCACTGGAAGATCAGAGAAGGCTCCAATCAAGGATGGAAGCTGCCGATGGGAATATCCAGTTTATGAAACTGTCAAGTTCAGCCACGATTCCAAAACAGGGAAGATCAATGAGAGGATGTATCACTTCATTGTGTCAACGGTAAGAAATATTGAGCTAAAATTTGTCTTGAGATCATGCACTGTTGCTTTCTAGTTACTTTCCCTTTGCAGTTTGGTGACATTGCATGTCCATTGCAGGGTTCAGCTAAGAGTAGTGTAGTTGGTGAAGCTTCGGTCGATTTGGCCGCGTATGCAGAGGTAGCCAAAGCTTCTAATGTCTCACTTCCTCTCAAGAACTCAAAGGCCAATGGTGTTCTTCATGTGAGTAATAACCATTAAGTCATTCTCTTCCACTCTATGTTTATTTCTAGTTGAGGAAATTGGATTAACTGGTGTCTTCTGCAATTGGGTTTTGGATAGGTTTCAATTCAGAAACTACAAGCAAATATAGATCAAAGGTAAATGAGTGTTGGGATAAGTTATTGTGACCTTAAGTACTCATCTTTTGGTCTTTGCTTGGATGGAATCTTAGTTTTTGGGTGTTTTACAGGGAAGAAGAGGAAACTGAAGCTGCAATCATAAAGCCGAGAAATACGACCTTGAATACTCTCTTCAACAATGGCGAGAGTGATGAGATCATCAAGAAATTTCCTAATGTGGTAAGTGCTAGATGTGGCATCCTTGACAAGGATGGTATTAAAAAAGAATGTTGCTTCACATTTACATTTTTTGTATTTATCGCCTTGGAGATTCTTACCAGCAGATCTGTGTGCATCCTTTGGATTTCAGGACGCGTTGAATGCTGCAAATAGCAATGCTGAACATAACAAGATCACCACCGCCACAAGTGGATCTTCTGACCTTACATTATCAAGCCCCGAGGCTAGCTCAGAGCTTAACACGCCACGAGAGGACCATGCAAGCTTGCTAGCATCGAAAACTCAAACTTCAGCCCCTCAGCAGACAGAATATGAATGGTCTGTGGATTCTGATCATGCCTTAAGCATTGAGAGCTCGACGAATAGCTCTCATGGTGGAGACAAGTCTCAACTAGTTTCAGATGGCGAGGTCGAGAAGCTCAAGGCTGAACTTCTCAGCATGACCAGACAGCTTGATCTCTCAGAACTCGAACTGCAGACGCTACGCAAGCAGGTTGTGAAAGAAAGCAAGAGAGGCCATGATCTCTTGAGAGATCTCGCAGGAGTGCAAGCAGAATGCGAGAAACTGAAAGCCTTCCAGAAAGGCAGGGAGGAAGCAACAAAAACCAGAAATAAGTCGATATCCGAAGGTGGTGGTGGTGGTGGTGGGGATCCATGGTTGCTCATTGAAGAGATCAGACAAGAACTTTATTACGAGAAGGATCGCAACACCAACCTTCAGTTACAGCTACAGAAGACTCAAGAGTCGAATGCAGAACTGTTACTTGCCGTGAGGGAGCTCGAGGAATTGTTGGAGCAGAAGGGCACAACCCAGTCAACTGATGATGAGCAGAAGGCTTTGGAAGAGCTCGTGAAGGAGCATGGCGGTACGAGGGATACTTATGTGCTGGAGCAAAGGATTGTGGATCTCAGTAGCGAAATCGAGATCTACAAGAGAGATAAGGATGAGTTAGAGATGCAAATGGAGCAGATTGCCCTTGATTATGAGATATTGAAGCAGGAGAATCATGAGCTTTCATATAGGGTGGAGCAAAGCCAGCTGCAGGAGCAGCTGAAAATGCAGTATGAATGTTCACCACAGACTGACAACACAATGGAATCACAGATCGAGAGGCTGGAAGACGAGCTTAAGGAGCAAGGAATTGAGTATTCAATTTCCTTGGCCACTATAAAAGAACTTCAGAACCATATCAAGAGAGTAGAGGCAGAATTGAGTCTGCAACAGAAGGCTAACTCCGGTTATCTGGTCAACATAGATGAACTCCAAAACCATATCAAGAGCACGGAGGAGGAAATGAAGCTGCAAGAGCAAAGTGCAGCTGCCAGCACAAGGGAACTTGAAGATCAAGTGGAGAGGTTGGAGAATGAACACTCTAGTTCTTTGACCACCATAAATGAACTTCAAAACCAGATCAAGAGTTTGGAGGAAGAAATGAAGCTGCAAGAGCAAAGTACAGCTGCCAGCACAAGGGAACTTGAAGATCACTTCCAGAGGTTGGAGAATGAACACTCTAGTTCTTTGGCCACCATAAGTGAACTTCAAAACCAGATCAAGAGCTTGGAGGAAGAAGTGAAGCTGCAAGAGCAAAGTACAGTTGCCAGCACAAGGGAACTCGAAGATAACTTCGAGAGGTTGGAGAATGAACACTCTAGTTCTTTGGCCACCATAAATGAACTTCAAAACCACATCAAGGGCTTGGAGGAAGAAATGAAGCTGCAAGAAGAAAATATAGCTGCTAGCAGAAAGGAGCTCAAAGCCCAAATCGAGAGTTTGGAGAATGAACGCTCTAGTTCTTTGGCCACCATAGATGAGCTTAAAATCCATATCAAGAGCTTGGAGGAAGAACTAAAGCAGCAAGAGGAACTCATGCAGCAGCATGAATCATCAAAACAACTAGAAGCTCAAATCAAGAGGTTGCAGAATGAACTAAAGAAGCAACATAAGCTGAATTCTGGTTCTTTGGTTACCATAAAGGAATTGGAAGCCCATATTAGTAGGATGGAGGAAGAATTGGAGAGGCGAGTTCAAGGTTTTGAAGCTGATATAGCAAAGGTGACACGTGAAAGAGTTGACAAAGAGCAAAGAGCCATTCAAGCAGAGGAAGCCTTACGGTTGACTCGATGGAAGAACTCTAACACAGCTGAGAAGCTACAAGAGGAGTTCAGAAGGCTGTCCGTGCAAATGGCCTCAACATTTGAGGCCAATGAGAAGGTGGCTATGAAAGCAATGGCTGAAGCTAATGACGTTCGCTTCCACAAGAGTCAGCTAGAAGACATGCTTCACAAAGCAAATTCAGAACTTCAGTCTGTTAAGGATGATTATGAGGAGAAATTGAAAGAGCTTTCCAAGCAATTAAGTTTGAAAAGCGGTCAGATAGAGAAGTTGTTGATGGAAATTGATGAGAAGTCGACGCATGAAGAACAACTTGGTGGAAGTTTCGCTCAGAAAGTTCAGAAGCTGCAAGCTGAGATTGAAAAGCTTGTAAAAGAAAATAATCTCCTCTCCGTACAAGTGGAGGAAATGAAGACGTCGATCAAGACCCATGAAGGATTGGTGCAGAAGGGAAATATAGAGAGGAATGAATTAGTGAATACAATTGCTTCATTGAAGAAAGAAGCAGAGAAAACAAAAGAGGACCTAACTACATTGAGATCTCTCGAGGATGAAAAGGAGAAGGAACTTGGTCTCCTAAAAGCAGAAGTTGGCACGCTAAAATGCAATTGTGATGAGTTGAAGCATTCTCTCATTGAAGATGAGCTGGAGAAGGAAAAACTCAGAAAGCAGTTATTCCAACTGAAAGGAGACCTCAAGAAGAAGGATGAAGTCTTGATCAACGCCGAAAAGAAGCTCAAGGAAAGCAACAAGCGTACATCAGTTGTCCCTAGAACCAACAAGTCTACTCCAGTTTCTCATGGCACCAAGGAGGTCTCAAACCTCAGAGAGAAAATAAAATTGCTCGAGGTATAAGTCTATTATTCGCAGGTTGATTTTCGGAAGCTTATTAATTTATCTTCGATGGAGTTGGAAACATAGATTGAATTATTTCTGGATTTGTCCAAACAGTTGCATATAAAGTCAAAGGAAACTGAGCTGGAGACATCTGCAAGTTCATTTTTACAGAAGGAAAGAGACCTTATGGACAAGATTGAAGAGTTGGAGAAAAGACAAGATGAACTTAACCAGTGCAGTGCAAGTTTAACTTGTAACCCTCCCCACAAGGTTAGATCCTCTTGAGCTAATGACTAATGTATAAATAAACCGTCATCTAAGTCTTAGTGCTGTGATTTTGTTCAATTTGGTTCCTGACCGACCAATGTATGTGCAATTTCCAGTTGAATGGCGATGCAACTGATGAGGATCTCGAAAATGTGGCATCTGTACCGAAAGACAAGAGGTATGATTTCTGAAATCCAGAAATCTGTTATATATATTATGATTCCAACGTATCAAAGTAATCTGAACTCTTGGCATTCCTATGCTCCAGAACCAATGATGAAGCTGAATGCGAGAACGAATCAAAACCCTTCACCATGGATGATAAGTTGGTAAGGGAGCTGCTATCGATGAAGGAGAAGAACGAAGAAATGGAATGTGAGCTGAAAGAGATGCAGGAGAGGTATTCAGAAATAAGTCTCAAGTTTGCAGAAGTAGAAGGTGAGAGGCAAAAGCTCGTGATGACAGTAAGAAGCTTGAAAAATGCTAGAAAAGAGCTCATCAAACAATCATAATAAAAGAATGAAGGGGTTAAGGTTTCTTTCTATACAAGTAATATGGTAACCTATGAAGAAGTGTATAGTTGGGGGGGAAAAGCTAGTAACTGGATTTCATTTGTTCAAACAGAAAATCTAGAGAGGATTTGACTGTGCTGCTACAGAAGAGTGAATAATTTTTGTACAAAGTTTCTATAGCCAGGGTGGAAAAAAAAAGGGGTTATCTAGTCTATTAGTTTATTTAATTTTTTAATTTGTAGGTATAAGGATGAAAATGATGTAGTGTTCTAGATTTATGTTATTTCCGTGTAATATTTTTAACTTTTTTCATGGAGTCTTGTGATATGTAAGGTGAATGTTTGCAGCTTCTATATATAAATATACATAATCTTTCCATTATTTGCCTCTGTCACTTGTGTAGGACATTAGGACGTTGATTTCTCCCTCATTGTAAATTGCGCCCCAAGTCGCAATTGGGTAAGCAGGTGGATATTTCAATATTTATAATATATTTGTGTGATTATTAGGCAGGATAGATGGATATCTCAATATCTATTATATATTTGTGTGATTATGGGACGGATCTTTTTACTATAATATGTGATTATATATAAAAAAAAATGTAACTTCTTGATTTTTACATAAAAATACTAAGTGAAAAGATGAGTAGGTGCACAGGACATCTTGATTTTTACATAAATTACTTGCAGGACAGTAATATCAGTACGAAATGGATCGGAATTAACATGTTGAGTTGCACAGGACATATAATAATAATCATGCAAAGCAAAAGCGACATTTGGCAAGCATATGACTGCTAAGTCCCGTGTTTGTTTGGGCCTTTGTGGAGGTTTTGAAGAATTAAGGGGTCGTTTGCTTCAAGGATTTGCATCATGGATTTGGTACAAAAAAACCAACTATTAAGGATTTAAGCACAATTTTTTGTTTGCTTGGTCCAAAAATGTTGAAACAAATCCGTGGGCCCCATAGATTTAGGTTTTTTTTTCACTCCAAATCCGTGGGGCCCACAGCTTTACAAATCCCACATGATTATTAGGGAATTGGTGATGGGCTGAAAAACCAAGAGGCCAAATGACACTCCTATCCTCATTCTTTTTTATTAAACCAAAATTGCCCTCTTCACATCCACCATATATGCCGCTTCCTATTCCTTCTCACCAAACCTGTAGAAGAGTACTTCCCTTCCTGGAAAATTGCAGCCGACATCAAACTCTGACTGCATCAAGCTTCGACGGCGTCAACCTCCAACGGGAGCCAGAGAGAGAGAGAGAGAGAGAGAAATAGAGCGCTGAACGTCGATGATAAAGATGGAAAGCGAGAGGGGGAAGGAAGAATGGTTTCTAAAGATTTGAACTTTGGTCCACCCACCACCACCTTGTTTATTGTCATCGTCCCAATGACCTCCTTCCACACTGTAATTTCCTAAAATTTCTTTCACCCGCTTCTCTCAAATCCCATCTCGAAACCCTGAATCTTTTACTTTTTCTCCTCCTCGAATCGCCATTTCCCATTCTCCAGGCAAGCTACGCACTGCGCACTACTCCTTTCTATCTACATTTGAGAGACTCAGTCGATTCAAGCTTCTGATTTGCAGGCATTTTTGTTTGATCTGTGTGTAAAGTTCGCTGCTTTTCTTTAACTCTGAATCAAGCTTCGCTGGGTTGCTGTTAGTTTTCAGATCCTTGTGGATCACTGTTCTGTTGGTTTGAAGTGAATGTCAACAATGCGTAGTACTTGAGCTGAATTTGAATGTTATTAACAAGGAAAGAAAAGGGAAACGCATAGCAGTTCTTCATTTCTAAAAAGGGCAATAAGGTAAATGCAATTCTTTATTTCTAAATCCCAAATTATTAAATCCATGATCAAAATGAAGAAACAAACAAAGGATTTTTCCAAATCCAAAATGCCCCAAATCCCAAATAAAACCTTAGATTTTTAAATCCCATGTTTAAGTGAAAACCCTCATTTTACAATCCTTGAAGCAAACGACCCCTAAGTTATCAAGTTTTTGTATCTTTGGGCCTCCTGATAGGAAAATTGGTAAGTTCGGGCCGCCGTGTAGGATGAGGAATTGAGGAAGGTGGGCCAGATGTCGGTTTTATCTTTGGGCCGGAGTAATTGGAAGGCCATACATGCTAGAGGATTAACGGGTTGAATGTTGGATTTCAGAATTCAGACTTTCAGTGATGCAATATTGAGCACTAAATCGAGGAGGATATAGGAGAGATTGGAATAAGAGATGATTTGTTTGGTAAATATCATTAAAAAAAGATACATAATCTGGGGTGTGAGCATTGTTTTCAAAATCCAAAGATGAGAGGCAAATCAATTTTTTTGTTTGTTTGCTTGCTTGTTGTTCATGTTCGTTTTGTGTACTTTTAAAGGACCTCCGATCATATATAAAAAAAGACAACATTAGATAACTATAAATGCTCCATTTGAAATAGAATTGGAATTTTTAACGGAAGGACACGTTTGATCATTTATCAGAATATCTATTACAAAACAAAAATGTTTGGAAATAAAAAATATCAAAACTTTGCTAAAGGCAGAGATTATACAATGAGTCTTCATCGATGAACACCATAACCACATTACACATCGTCGATTAGTCATTCGTTAGCCATGTATCCACTAACAGTAAACTAAATTAAAATAATTCTGCAGAAGCAGCTAGAGGTGGCAATTGGATCGGATTCGTGGATTCGTGGATTGGATTGGTGGATCCATGGATCAAATGGATTGGTGGATTGATCCATGAATCCAAATGACATCCAAGGCTTGGACCAAAATGTAAATTTTGAAAAGTTAAGGTACTAAAATGTCATAATGAAAATTTTTAGGTATGAAAATGTAATTTTCCAATGATATTTTGCGTATAAAAATATAAATTTTAGGTACCAAAATGTAAAATATAAAAAATATAGGTACCAAATCGTAATTTGTCATTTAGATCCATGGATTGATCCATGAATCCACCAATCCAATTGGATTTGGATCAAATGGATTGGATTTAAATGGATTGAATTAGGTGGATAATTTGGTGGATGAATTGGATTGGATTCATGGATTTGGATCATAATTGCCACCTCTAGAAGCAACACTCTTTCACCTGCTTCGCCAGATACATACAGTGCCCAAATCAACTCCTAACCACAGCATGCATGCATGAATTGTAAATCTACTGAATTCGTGGTGTTTTGATCCCTATCTTCCATCTGAATCCAGTTATTATATCGTAAAAAACTCAATCAACTTATGTTATTCTTCTGTACCCAATAAATAAAACGAATTGAAGCTGTGACAGAGAGAAGGATAGAGAAGGAGGTTTGTACTTGTACATAAGCCGTGACCAACTTCATATCCCCAAAAATCACAACTGAAAATCATAAATTATTATATAATTAAAGGGGATTGTGGGATGGGAACTGAGACTCACTGGCGCCTGTCCACGTGCGCTGTGCTGCAGAAATTAAGGACCAATCGGTTCCTTATATATTTATTATTATGTGTATGCTGGTGCTGTGTGGCCACATTAATTGAATTATTGTGTCTGTGGTTCTTAATTTCTTGTTTATTTATTATATACTCTTTCTCCATTCATCACCTTTCCCGTTTTCACGGATTCTTTCGTTCATTGGTTAAATGAGCGTTACATACACTGGATAGTGAAGAAGGCAGGAGTTCGAGAGGACCCTTCTGGTTGGATTAAATCGCAACAATAAGCTGACCATTGGACCCATTTTGGTGCTTTTGGCAAACCTTTTGTTATAGTCACAAAAGGTCCATTGGTTTACAAAGTCGTATCAAGAGGGAGATGCATATTGAAATCATAACATACCGTCGGGAAAACTATTTGTCGGAGTTTAAGTATGTAGGCGATTTTGTACCACGATTTCGATATAGAATATTATGTCGGAGGATTTTTCAATACAATCACCGATACGATTTTACAATCCTTCATGTTGAGACAAACCTTCGATTATAGTTGGACTAGTAATCGTAGTGGTTTGTTTGTGCCTAACTTTTGATAAAGGTTTATAAAAAATGGAAAGAAAAGGAAACAAGTCAGTTTTTCAATAATAAAAAGAATATAAAAAAAACATTATAGCTTACGATTGTCTCTGCAAAGGTTGATCAGTTTCAATTAAAAATAAATTAATAATATAAAAAAAACAACAATTGTGTTTTATGTGACAATACATGTCGACCAAATCATCATACCGTCGACATTGTTGCCGTGAAGGTCGAAGGCACCGATGTGTATGTCGATCGTTTCTAATGAATTGAAAGAGTCCGATGGTCCAGATTCATTAAGCTAAGTCCAAGTATGAGTTGCTTGTAGTAAACTCCAAGAAATATTATGATTGGTTAAAAGTGAGCCGAACAAAAATAAACATATATTTCATTCACGATAAATGAAAAACAAAAATACAATAAAAATTACATAATACGTCCATCCCAAGCAAAAAACCTGGTTAAGAGTTAGATCAAATGACATATTCAAGACCTAATATCGTTTCTATACAAAAACTGGTCAATCCATTTTTCTCAACCTCAATGTTCTCTTGCATGGACCCTTTTTATCTTTAAAAAAAAAAACATATAGTCCATATCATCCATTGTTGACATTATAAGACAGATGTTATTAACACTAAGACGCGCTTAAGGGTGATGGGCAGCACGTCTCTTCTTAATGTTCTGTTTGATCACCATTTTAATTTTGTAAACTTTCTATTCACGCTAACAGAGGTGGCGCAAAGACCGACATTACCACTTAATCATTGATAAATGATAATCAAGTCAGCTCATCCTGAGGTTCAAAAACAACAACCACAATCTTATTATTAAATTTATTATGCATACTTATCTTGAAAACATATCTAATAAAAATTAATTGAATTGCTCCCCCCACGTACATTGTTGTTTCTAGCTCTTAATTACTTGAATTTGTTCGAGAAATGGATATGATTTAGAAATTGAAGCCGATTCGTTAACCTTCGTGGTGTGTTAATCGAGGCCGGTTTAATTAGATGAAGATCCACTGTGAGCCACTTAATATATAATCAAGAAAAAAAGAGAAAAAAACCCTAGTCCATCAGTTTCAAGTTGTATTTATTTACTGTCTGATAGTCATAATTTTTATTTTCGTGGATCTGAAATCACTTCTGGGACTGGGATAATCCGGCACAGTAATCGGTCTCATGCATGTACATATAATTTATTTTGTACATGCACGTATCTGTAAAAAACAAAGAGTGAATATTCTCTGACAATGATCCAATAAAATTAATCTGTAATTTGGTTTTAGATCCGTCATTTAATTTGTTACCAAAATCGATCTTGGACAGGTCACAATTAGAGGTAGGCAGTTCCTTTCAGATCAATTGTCAGAAGATACGATTATGGTTTTCGAGTTGTACAGATCGGCTAATTGCATATTAATTCTATATATATACCCTCTATATTTTATTCAATTCTATTTTGGAAATAATTGATTTCCCTCTCTTTGTCTTTGATCTTCTTCCTCTTATATATTCGTTGAAATATTAATTATTTCCCCCCAATATTCTTGTTTATTAGAACAAAAATGTTGACCACCCTCTAGTTATTTTTGGGGAAGACCCTATACTTGACTGAAGAGAATTGTTACTCGCATATCCCATCATAATTTGGATATAAGTGAAAGGCTAATAAAGAAAATATTAAGATAACACCCCTGTATAATAACCAGCCTATAGAACAATGAGTTACGAAATAAAAATATTTAGAATTTAACTAATTGCATAGTATTACATATCCTTTAACAAGAGAATAATATAAGAAGATGTACGTTGTTGCGCATAAATTCTCTTAAACATGGATAAAATAGTTAAATGACTTCTACTCATAAGATACGAAAGATAAAAGGTACCATAAACAAAATATTCTTTGTCTCTGATAATAATAACTGAACCACAAAATACATATTTATAGCAAAGGCATAAACCCCAAAACTAATTCTAAAAGGACTCGGTAACTTACTCGTAAAGAAACTACCTTAATAATGAATATGATTCCTAAACAATGACTAAACTGACTCAATTAATTAATAACTTGACAATGATAACAATAATAATGATAAATTTATATGCACCACATTCTTGTATCTAAGTAAAAGTGGTAACTCGCGTGATTAAGGTATTATACTCATCGAAGAAAAACACTTTTTGGTTCACTCTTACAGTAAAATCTCTCTCAACAATTCGATAGAATGTCTGATTCTTTTCAATCTAACATAAAAAGAGAAATGTTACTACCTTCGTACAAATTGGTAAATCGATCTTTTCCGTGGGCTCCCAAATTATTTCTAGAAAAAGTATAGTCACCAGAACATATACACAAATCAAAAGAAGAACAAATGTACAGACTACAAAGCTACAACTCAATTTTCTTCTATTAATTTCTTCACTTTGCCTACCTGTTCTTTCCCCCTTTCCATCTTACAACTACAATGGAACCCATCTTCTTCCTCTATCCAATTCCAGATCGGAAAATGGGTCTCACAAAAAAAAAAAAAAAAACGTTTCATCTTCCCTCTCTCTCTCTCTCTCTCTCTCTCTCTCTCCACATTATATTCCATCCAAAAAGGAAAATAAGAAGGGGAAAAAAACCTAGCAAAAAAAAAAAAAAAAAAAAACACGAACATCATCATAATCTGCGGCTCATCAAGCCATAGACGGTGGCCAGAGCCATAACCAACGACCGGTCAACTCCCGGCTGAACCACCAACGTCATCACGTCGTTCCCCAACAACACTCCGTTCCCCTCCGTCAACATCGACTGCTGCTTCCTCTTCGCCTCCGCCACAACCCCGCCGCTAACCACGTCCGTTATCTTAAACGCCGTCACCTTCGCACCACACGACGCTTCCAACCTATACCGGCCCCCGCAACACAAATCCGCCGCGAATAATCTCTTCCTCGCGACAGAAAACGACGCCGTCTCCTCGTCGCATCGGTAGCCCTTCCACTTCCTCGACAAGAACGGGCACAGGAAGGAAGCCGTCTTGAGGATCGTGAAGACGAGATTGCCCTTGAGGTCCATGAGGCACACCTCCCGCCCGCCCTTCTTCTGGTAGTTGTCGACCCGGTACACGACGGCGCCGTTTTGGTCGTAGATGGTGCATCCGTTGCCGTTCATCACCAGCGACTTCATCCACATGGTGAACGTCTCCGTGGTCGAAGTAACGTCGCATGACGGCGACGTTGAGGCGTCGACGGCGGAGGAGGTGGAGAAGATGGGATGGATTTTGCCCATTATTTTAGGCTTTATCGTATTGGTGGTGTGAAGATTGAAGAAAGGAAGAGAAGGAAGGGTTATTTATATATATTGGGGAGGAAATTAAAAGGGAGGGAATCTTACGTGTGGACTGCTTTGGTTTGTAGGGTAACGCCATTGAATATTAATACACTTGATGTTTTTGGCATGTATTTATGTGTACATGTGACTGTGTATTAATTGAGTGAGTATGTACATTTATTTATTTAAATGGTTTTGCATACGTGGGTTCATGCGAGGACTTGTGATTTCTTAAATATATCATTTACTAGGGCTAGGGCGGGGGGCGCCTTTCATCTTCAGTTAATTGGCCTTTTGGGAGGTCAGTCACCGCGCGCCGAATATATATGATGTGTTACATGTACATAATTGAGATGTAGAACAAAGACTGGATATGTGTGTAATGGTATATAGTTGGTACTACTCAACATTTTCATGTGCTTTTTGTGGACTTCAAATAATATATGCAGCTTTTTTGTTATGGGGAAGAGGATGTGTTAGTTGTTTTGTCTACTCAATCCGGATATGGTCGAATCGATTAACTTAGCAGAGGTTAGACGATGGAATTAGATCATGGTGATGATGAAAGAAATTAGAGTCGGATTAAAATTGTATAATTATCTGAAGAAATATGTATGTTCAAAACAAATCTCTAAGTGTGGTGTTCATCGAGATGAGTCAAACAAAAAAATTGGATTTTAAGAAACCTCTAGCACGTTCATACGTCTGCCACACTCGTATTGCGCGCTTCGGCGGGGCATCTAATGTTTGCTTAGATGTCCTGATGAGTTTGCTGGGGGTGCAAGGGCAAAATCAACTACAATTGACCTAGGTCGTCGTTCAGTCTTGTATGGACGTTTGATCCGTTCCTTGGGCCGTTCATAATGGGTTCGCGAGCATGTACCCTCTTAGATTCGAGTTATATATAGAGGCAAAGTATCCTTAATTAATCTCTCCTCTATTCGTAGAATGTGACGGGTGCATGCTCTCTCGCGTAGTTTTTTCATGGAGAGATATTGTTTACCATTCCATAACTCGAATCATTTAGAGATGTTAAATTATTAATCTTGTATTACTCATTAACCATGGTATAAAATATTTAATTGGTATCATATATATATGTATTAAAAATAATGATTTTGGAGTTGAGAAACAGCACGCCGACGGAGGAAATGGGCGTCATGTGAGTTTGTGCATTATAGTATATATCGCCGTCTGTAAAAGGATAAGTGAGGCAGCAATGGAAGAGGTCACTTATTATTAGGTACGAAGTTCCTATTGGTAGTAAGTAAATAGTTTGGATTGGAACTTGGAACTTGGAACTTGGTTGGAAGTGGTGATCGAAGCCCATTTGCATAATGTTAATTACATACTTTTTGGCAGTATTTAGATTTGTTAATATTATCTGGGAAGTGGTCAGTGGCACTGATTTGTGGATGACATGAGGAACAGTTAGGAATAGTCGGCCTTTTTCGGCTACTTTGCCAAATTAAGTATATCACAGTCACAGGCTAATTAAGCTGACTGACTGCATTCGTGATGTACTTTCCCACCTAAATACAATGTACACAAACATTATGTATTGCATGTGGTGTGATGAGGGAAGAGAAAAAAAAAAAAGATGAGATGAAATTAATATTCCAAACTTTTCATTAAAATAGCATGATACTTATAATTTTGTTGATATAGGTAGCGGTAAAACCAGATCTGGATATATTGAACAAGTGACAAATCACAAAAAATCGTGCATAAGAGGACCAAAACGGTATTAACAAGGTTTGAGAAAATAAAACGAAATGCAAGTTAGTCTTTCATTTTGCTGAGATCATCGATTACGCGAATCCAATTCAATTGTTTACTTTTATTTTCTCGCTTGCATGAAGCCGGAATCGCTAGCTAGTAATCGCCGATCAGCGCCATACGACGGTGAAAGGTTTCCGTTAATACTTTAAATATTGTAGAGTGAAGTTATAACCTTAATTTTAAAATGGCTGATAAGGGTATGCTATAAATATAATCCATATCACTAAATGCACTCTAGTTGATGGGGGTGTTTGCTATTATTAATTTAATTTTACAATAGCCAAGTTCATAATTAAGGAGGTGATTAATTAACTGACTATAGCTATCTTGACCCTTGAGGGCCTTGTGGACAAATATTAACAAATAAAATGTTGCAAGTGTTTATTGGGGAGTTTTGTGCTGATGAAAGTGCTGATTAGACTTGGATATACGTCTCCACTCCACCCTGAGGCTTTTGCATCATATTCAAATACTCACTTAATTAGGATTTAGTTGGGAAATGTGAACTTCTCCTCATGATGTAAACTCATTTGTTGACATCACAATTCTCTTCCCTTTTTTTTCTCTCAGTAAGCACAATGCCATCAAATTTTAAGCTTTGTTTAAGCTTTGCGAATAATGATAGTAAAAACATAAATAATTTCAAGCTTTATCATGTGTAATACTGGAGTTACGTATAATCCAACGAGAGATGCACCAGTACAACCCCTTTTCCATGTTTTGAGTAACTTAAGCAACCATTAGAAATTCAAATTGCTTGATGGTTTGCTATCAGCCTCCAATACATAATTAAGTCCGAATATACACAGTTCTCGTAATTTTTTTTCTTCTATTTTTGATCATTCCTTAGTTTAAGTCTTGTCTTTTTCACTTACCATATATCTAGTTCGATGCTGGCTTGAGATTTTGTTGCTTAAGAAAAACACGAAGTAATAGATCCATTTTATCCACTATATTTGAACACATGTATCTAATTTAATTTGATGATTAAAAGGGGGTCTAAGTTGAAAGGGAAGAATGAGAGAGTCTTGATGATCCCTAAAATAAGATAATATGAGACTTTTATTTCAAGTGAGTTCATCGTCTCGATCACTCCAGCTACTTAGAGTTTCTGAATATTTATTAAACTTATGCCTAACATAATAGAGTCCATTAAAAATTTAAATAAGCAAACAATAGGTAACATTTTGTCCACCATCCATGACACAATTCCCATGAGGCTCTTTTCTCTTCCATCTTCTTAATCACTTAGATCACTCAATATCGCTTCCATCTCCCTAAGTACAAAATACAGAAACTGCATTATAAAGAAAAATGATGCGTCAGATTCTCAACGTGTAAAGGTAGGATCATATATGAGTCATTATTCCATAAGCAAAAAAGAACGCTATTAATGATTACCCATATAAAAATACAGAGCAACCAAATATACAAACAAACATGCATAGTCGAGAAAAGAGCGTTTCTACACAAAGTAGCTAGAAGAAAAGAAACTAAAGAAAGGGAAAGGCTCGCTTAATTAGTGGGCCAACGTAACCTAATACTGTAATGTTTGTAATCATAATTATAGTTTTATGTACGTGCTAATTGAGATTAGTTATTGATTGTGCACAAGACAATCAAGGGCAACTGCAATGAAGTGGTCGGTCGATTCCAACCATCTCTTTACTTTCCTGATGATGATCAATCATAGTGTTATGTCCTGTCGGCCTGTCTTCCTCTGAATTTGTCTAATTAAGGTCTTGATTAATCTTAATCACCCCCACCAAAGAGCAGTTCGCGTGTGTATATATAATTAATAAGTTCTGTCGATCACCACCCAAGCTGAATGGATCGACAACTCTACTAATTACAGGTTTCCTCCGCACCCTAATTGAGACTTGAGAGGGCCGGTGTGAGCAATGAATGTAATTAACAGCCAATCAGTTATAAGTGGATATATCGAGTCTAAGTTGATGGCACGATAGAGGTAGTGCACGGCCAAGCTCCGGCAACCACATATGTAAAAAAAAAAAAAAAAAAAAATCAAAGCTACGAAAATAAAACAAATTAACACGACGATTTTTATGTGGTATTCTTATTCAGGGTGAACTGAAGGAATAGTGATCCACACGGTAAACTCAAAACGAGTTTATAAATTTTCTTATTAAACTCTATCGACTATCGTAACCCCCAATTACAACCGTATGCGACTATATAATACATATACTCGCGAAGGAGAAAATTAAAATATTTTAATATCATTAATATTATTGAAGGAGATGTATTGACCAATATGATCTGTTTTATTATTAGGTATTATATATAATTGTTTAATCATCATGAGGATGTCGCTATATAGAAACCGAATAAGATATAGAGGGGGGAAACCTGTAAGTGCAAGAGACTGAAGAGAGTAGATTAATTTGGATTATAACACGTTGTATGTGTGCTTTTATATACACCTTTATCCTTAATTTTTTCTTTATAATTTTGGTATATATTACGTATATTGTATTAATTAAAATTGTCAATTCGTTGTCATATATCAATCAGATAAAGTATTTGACTATTTGTAGTTTATCAGCTAAGTAGAGATTTTAGAGTCCCCATAAACTTCAAACCAACAACTATTAATTTGTAACAACTTGGCTGTATGAATTCAACTCTCTGTATAATTCTTAACACTTGAGATCCCAAGTTGTTAAATATGATCGATCAGTGCCGCAAGCATACAAATTATACGTGAATTCGAAGCTTGTAAGCAGAGTTCTTAAGTAAAAGACATTATTGAGTTGGGTTTACTTGATCTAATCTAAGGCAAGGACGTATTAACTGAAGAAGACGAAGCTGATGCTCTGTTGCAAGTCGAAGATCAGTGAAGCAGCAGAGAAATGGAACTTGTGAAGAAGAAACGCCACCCAGAAACGGAAACGTTTCTGGGTTCCCTTCCACTCAGCAGTGCAGTAGAGGATTGAGACGACGTCGTTGTGGATTTCATCTACTTACCGTTGGGTGGAACAAGCAGAGACGAATGACGCCACGACACGTGGCTTTACATTTACAGTTATTTAAATGACCGTTTTTGCATTTCCATTTCTACTGTTTTGTAACGTGAACTTGAAGCCTAGCTGAACCTAATATAAAAGTAGAAGCAGAGGGAATCAATTTTCTCTTGCGCGTTCCAATTGTGCCGTCGTCTGCTTTCTTCTTCTTCCTCTTACCCTAGCTTCGGCTAGTTCTAATATGGTATCAGAGCGGTCACTGATTCAGTAACGCTTCCATGGCGACGACACCACCAAACACACCTCCTGGGAGCATTCCTTTTGGAAGCTTCACAGGGATGAATTCTGGAACGACGAGCAACAACAACAACAACAACGATCGCCTAGATCTACAATTCGGTAACCCTTTCTATATCAACCCTAATGAGAACATTTCTCAAGCGATTGTTTCAGAAGCACTAGATGGTGCTAATTATCAGATGTGGCAGAGAGCTGTTCGAATGGCTTTGAAAACGAAGCACAAATTAGGGTTCATCGATGGATCGATTGCTATCTCAGCTGTGGGAGATGCGACTTATAGTACATGGGATGCCTGTAATACTCTTGTGCTGTGTTGGATCCTGAATTCTGTTGATAAGGAGATTCGAAGGAATGTGATGCAACATGAAGTTGCTCAAGCCTTGTGGGAAGAGCTTAAGGCTCGTTTTGGTTTTGCAAATGCAATTAAACTATCTAACTTGCAAGATCAGATTATTGCTTGTAAACAAGGAACCCTTAATGTGACTCAGTACTACACAGCTTTGAAGGGATTATGGGAAGAACACCTTCAGTTTAGCCCTATTGTTGATTGCAATTGTGCACCACAGAGAACTCAACCTTGTGCTGCAGTTGAAGCATTTAAGCAGCAACAGGAAACTTATTATCTCATTCGTTTCCTCAAGGGTCTTAGGTCTGAGTTTGATGTAGTGCACACCCAGATTTTGATGATGAAGCCACTTCCTAATGTGGACATAGCAATCAATGATGTTTTGCAGCATGAGCAAAAGTTAAAGGCTGACAAAGGCATAACTAGAGGGATTCAAACTGTTGCACTGGCTGTTTAAGGAGAACCTCAAGATGGGAAGAAATTTTGTAGGTACTGTAAGAAGGAAGGCCACACAAAGGAGGAGTGTTATAGGCTGAAAAATAAGAATCTGAGGATGTCTGGTGGAGTAGCTGCTGCAGTTATTCAAGGTGAAAGTTCTAATGAGAGTGATGCTGGGAGCTCAGAACCTAAGTTGAGCAGTGATACTCGAAGTGTTTCTTCTAAAGAAAGCATGAGCTTTTCTGTTGAGGAGCTAAACAAGCTCAAATACCTACTGCAGACAGTGCCTTCACCTAGCCCTTCTCCACCTGCTTCACCCTCAGTTAATCACTTGGCTTTCTCAGTGGCTCACAATGTTGGGCAATTTCCTTCTTATGCTGGTAAGTTCATCTTATCTTCTTACTTACAACATAAGTCAGAGGCACTCAGTCACTGTTGGATTCTTGATACTGGGGCTTCTGATCATATTGCTTGCCACATCAGTCTGTTCTCTGAGTACATTCCAGTTAGTGTCAGTTTGTTTACTTGCCTAATGGGACTCAAGTGAGGGTTAGTCACATAGGGAAAGTTCAACTATCCCCTGATCTATGCCTAGACAATGTTTTGCTTGTACCCAGCTTCACCTTTAACCTTATCTCAGTTAGCAAATTGACAAATGACCAACCTATATCCTTACACTTTGAATCTGATTCTTGTCAAATTCAGGACCTGGTGACCCAGAAAAGGACTGGTTTGGCAAGACAGAGTAATGGATTATATCAGCTACATACCAAGGCCAAAGCACCTATTCTACCTACACCCCAAGCAGCCATTTCATACAATTTCCAACCACACCAGATTCAGCTTTGGCACTGGAGACTAGGGCACCCTAGCAAGGACAAAGAGAAGCAGTTACTGCCTAGTGATAGGACTGTAGTTTCTCATTGTTCCATTTGTCATTATGCTGAACACAAAAGACTTCCTTTCCCTGTTAGTAGCAGTAGAGCAGTTGAACCTTTTGCTTTAATTCATGTAGACATCTAGGGTCCCTTGGCAGTTAAGTCTCATGAAGGTTATGCTTATTTTCTAACTATTGTGGATGATTTCACTAGAGCTGTGTGGGTGTTTTTAATGAAACACAAATCAGAAGCTGGTTATTTATTGCAAAGCTTTTGCACTATGATAGAGAGGCAATTCTCTAAGTCTGTAAAGATCATCAGAAGTGATCAGGGTTCTGAGTTTCATCTAGCAGATTTTTACACAGAAAAAGGAATCATTCACCAGCAGTCTTGTGTAGAAACTCCTGAGCAGAATGCTCGAGTAGAAAGAAAGCATCAGCATATCCTGAATGTGGCTAGATCACTTCGATTCCAATCTGGAATACCCCTTAGGTTTTGGAGTGATTGTGTGCTGCATGCTGTTTATTTAATAAACAGATTACCTAGTTCAGTTCTGGACAACAAGTCTCCATATGAACTTCTCTACAACAAACCACCTTCTCTTACCAATCTGAGGGTTTTTTTGTTCTCTTTGTTATGCTTCTACCCTGCATAGGGATAGAACTAAATTTGATTCGAGAGCCAGGCAGTGTGTCTTTCTTGGTTTTCCTACTGGGATTAAAGGTTTCAAGCTTTTTGACCTTAACAACCATTCTTACTTTGTGTCCAGGGATGTGACTTTCTATGAGTCCATTTTCCCATTCCACTCTACTCAATCTAATTCATCCCCTATTCTTGATTCTGTGACACCTCAATTTACTTCTACAACTCCTGTCATTGAGCATTCTCCATCTGCTCTACTTGTTCATCCTTCCACTTCTCTTCCTAATTCTTTCACACAACCTACCATTCCTCATTCACCTGTTACCAAACCTGCTTCTTCCACTTCTATTCTTAGTCCAAATCCAACTGATTCTTCTACCTCCACTTCTTCTCCTCATTCTTCTGCACTGCCTGCTGCTTCACTAAATGTTCCTCCCATCAGATTGCAGTTTGAGGGGGAGGACATGGAGATAGAAGTGTTCCCTGATGTTAATGACACTGATGAGGCTGAGTTTTTAAGGAAATCTAATAGGCATCGCACAGTACCTATTTGGCACAAAGATTATCATGTGAATATGGCCACCACTACCAAAAGCAAACATCACATATCACACCAGGTGGCATATGATCATCTTACTGCTAGTCAGAAAGCTTTTGCCCTAAGTGTTCTATCCATTGAGGAACCAACTTCTTATGCAGAGGCTTGCAAGGATCCTCGTTGGAAACAAGCCTGTAAAGAAGAGATCTTTGCATTGTATGAGAATCGGACTTGGGAAGTTGTTAAGTTACCGGCAGGAAAGAGGCCTATTGGTGCTAAGTGGGTTTTCAAAGTGAAATATAGGTCAGATGGGGCAATTGAGAGGTTCAAAGCTCGGTTGGTAGCCAAAGGCTACACTCAGATCTATGGAATAGACTTCCTAGATACTTATTCCCCAGTAGCCAAAATCAATTATGTGAAGACCCTATTAGCAGTGGCTGCAGCTAAGGATTGGCACATCCACCAGATGGATGTGTCCAATGCATTCTTGCATGGTGACCTGGAAGAAGAGGTTTACCTGGAGATCCCCCCTGGTGTGGATGTTCCTAAGGATTCAGGTCTGGTTTTCAAACTTAAGAAATCCTTGTATGGCCTTAAACAGGCAAGTAGACAATGGTTTTCTAAACTTACCAATGCTTTGCTGAAGAATGGCTACTCACAAACTGCTTCTGATTACTCAATGTTTGTGAGATGGGTTCAAGGAAGAGTAGTGGTTGTGCTGGTTTATGTGGATGACATTTTGATAGCTGGTAGTTATCTTGGGGATATTCAACAGCTTAAAACTTTCCTGAGTAAGGAGTTTAAGGTCAAAGACCTGGGTCCAATGGGGTATTTCCTTGGTTTGGAAGTAATGAGGGATCATAAAGGGATTTCAGTATGTCAGAAAAAGTACTGTCTTGAACTATTAGAGGAGTCAGGTTTTGTTGAAGCTAAGGGTTGCCTTTCACCAGTGGACTGCAATATGAAATTCTCTGCAGAACAGGTGAAGCATTACCTGACCCTAGTGTTTACAGACACCTTATAGGGAAGCTCCATTATCTCACCATTACAAGACCAGACATCACCTATGCAGTGCAGCAGCTTGCTCAGTTTCAATCAGCACCCTGTAATGAGCATCTTCAAGCTGCACACAGGGTAATCAGGTATGTGAAACAAACCATTGGCCAAGGTTTATTGTTCAGGGCAGATGCAAAACTTGAACTATCTGGTTATTGTGATGCTGATTGGGCAAGTTGCCCAGATTCCAGAAGGTCTTTAACTGGGTATTGCACATTCTTGGGAACTTCACTCATCACCTGGAAAACTAAGAAGCAAACTACCGTTTCCAGATCATCCTCAGAGGCAGAATACAGAGCTCTGGCTCAGGTTGTCTGTGAGGTTCAGTGGCTGAGAAATTTGTTGTCAGAAATGGGGATTAAGGTTCCTTTACCCATTCCTTTGTACTGTGATAACAAATCTGCATTGCATATTGCTGAGAATCCAGTTTTTCATGAGAGGACGAAGCATATTGAGATCGATTGTCACGTTACAAGAGAAAGATTGAAGTCAGGGTTGATAAAATTACTTCATGTGAGGACAGGCGATCAAGTAGCAGATTTGTTCACCAAAGGTATGACACGTTACAGACTGAAATATTTGTTGGACAAGCTGGGAGTGCACAATGCTTACTCGCCAGCTTGTGGGGGAGTATTAACTGAAGAAGACGAAGCTGATGCTCTGTTGCAAGTCGAAGATCAGTGAAGCAGCAGAGAAATGGAACTTGTGAAGAAGAAATGCCACCCAGAAACGGAAACGTTTCTGGGTTCTCTTCCACTCAGCAGTGCAGTAGAGGATTGAGACGACGTCGTTGTGGATTTCATCTACTTACCGTTGGGTGGAACAAGCAGAGACGAATGACGCCACGACATGTGGCTTTACATTTACTGTTATTTAAATTACCGTTTTTGCATTTCCATTTGTAACGTGAACTTGAAGCCTAGCTGAACCTAATATAAAAGTAGAAGCAGAGGGAATCGATTTTCTCTTGCGCGTTCCAATTGTGCCGTCGTCTGCTTTCTTCTTCTTCCTCTTACCCTAGCTTCGGCTAGTTCTAATAGGACGAGCTAGCCTATGGAAGAAGAAACGGAAACCCCATTGGCAACTCGAAATACAAAGCCACCCAGGCCATGCATGGCTTGCTAAGAGTAAACGAGGTCGGGCCCGGGTCATGGGCCCGCGACCTTAAGGCCTTACTTTTGAGTGTTGGGTTGCTCTGGAATCTGGATCATGATTCATGACCGCCGCTTGGTCCAAACTGTAACGAGTTTCTTGAATTGAAGTGAACTCATGTAGTGGGCCTTGTATTGCGGCCTATTCGATTTGTTTGGTTGCCTACTCTAACGAGTTGTCTGGCCCTCAGTCTCCAATTCCTTTTCTTAGTTAGCAAAAGCCCAACAAAATTGTGAGGATTGGGGACTTGTGCATGTATATGGAGTCTGGCACGAGGATTTGGGTTATGGATTGGTCCAAATCCTACCTAACGGGAATTGCACAAATCCTGTGAGATGCATAAAAATGTGGGTAACAAATTTGCGAGGTCACATATTTTGAACTTTTTTTACCGTTTTCTAAGACATCACGCATTTGGAAATCTCATATAATTTGGTGAGATTTGAGATAATGAACCACATTCTCGATGAACCACATTTTTTAAAGTCACAAATGAACCAAATTCATCACCAATTCTTCATTTTTTAAATCACGAAATTTGAAAAAAAAACCCTTCATTTTTCAAATCATGATATGCTTATATACAACAAACTGAGTATAAAACAAAAATTGTTATACACATAAACTTCAAACCAACAACTATTATTACAAAAAAAAAAAAATGAAAATGAATAAGTAAGTGGTAGGGTGTCTTATTTCCTGTCCTCTTTCTTAAGCTTGCCATCCTTCTTCTCTTCCTTGGCTGGGCCAACGGTGAGGATGTCAACTTTGCCTAATTTCTTGGTGAGTTTCTTGGCAACTGCAAAACTGTCCATCTCTCCAATCACTGTCAGCTTCTGCTCTCTTGTGTCTGCTTCTATTGAATCAACTCCTGCATTGCAAATGCATGCCCCTGTTTTATAATCCCCACCACAACCCACACACACAAACCCAATTTTCAAATTCCATGGCTAAGGCCTGCCCTAAGAGAATAAAATCCAAAACCCCCGACAATTTTCTTATATAGGTGAGTTCGAGTTAAATCGTATTTGTACACACTTAAAATTAAGAGATCAAATCTACTTAATTATGCACAAAGGGAAAGAGAGGCGAGGAGGGATGATCAAGTTTAAAGTAGTGTGTACCAAAAATGTCAGCAACAGCCTCTATGGCTTTCTGCTTGGTCTTCTCATCATTCATGCTCATAATCTTCAATACCACCTTCTGCATGTGCATCCCATTCCCACCATCGATGACGCCCCAAAAAGACACATGAATACATGATAGAAGTGGGCAAAACAAATACTCATCGAAACTATTTACCTGTGCCATCTACTTACGCTAATAAAGAGAGAACTTGAGACGGAAACTAAACCTGCAAAATAACCAGTACTCATGAGTCATATGTGAGGCGGCTTTCATATGGATGTTTATCATATTTATAGGCAGAGTCATGACTACCAATTTCAAGTCGCAATCAAGGCGCATTGTTGCCCACTACTATAAAGCAAAGGAAGAGAGCTAGCAAGCAAGCATTATGGACTCCTCTCACTATCACCTTCATTTTAAAAACAACAATGAAAACAACAGAGATTTCCCACTTCGATCTCCAAACTCCAAAGTCACATACAGTACTCCCGTCGCCAGTATGCTGATACAAGCTAAACCCGTCTGCATCTTCAATTTGCTTTCTACACGATTTGCTTTCCCGATTACTGATCGATGACTTGTTCCAATAACGGGTTCCCCAAAAAAAGTTGATTTCCGGTACAAGTTAACTTGCTTTCTCTAGGGCTCCAAAAGTTTCATAAGTGGCACGTACGTAGCCATCAAGGTAATGGTAGATTAGCATCAAAACTATCAATGACCCTATATTGATATAATTGTGGCTTTGATGAGTTAGGCGGGTGAGTATACGGTTTGGTCCGATTAAATTGGCCCCAATCGATCCGGTCTCGGTCCATTCTTTTCGAGAAATATAATGACTAAAAGATTGGATTGGATACAATCCGGTCTTGATCCAGTCCGGTGTTGAACCGGTACGGTCCCAATTCGGTCTTGATTTTAGATTGAGCTTGAGGGATTTGATTGTCCTGAGGCCTGAAAGGGTGAGGAGGTTAAAGTTTGGGTGTTGAGCTCTCTTATCCGGTTTTCGGTCCGGTCTAAAACCTAGGCCCGAAAATGAGATTGAATTGTTTGCTATTCGGTCTCGGTCCGAGTTATACGGTCCGATTTTGGGTAAAACCAAATAGCCCGGACCAAATAACCACCCCTTAGACAATCTGATAAGCAATTGCTATAAAGCCTTATACTAAACTTTTCATGTATAAGAAGCAAACTTTTGGCAATGAAAATGGTAGCCAGATACACGCAAGTTATCGTTGAGTTTACTGAATAAATTGAAACCGCAACAACAAAACATGATCGTAGATTCACGTAATGATTTTTAATTTATATGCTAATGAAGGAGGGCGTGTGAAGAAACGAAAGCGCTCTCTTAAATTCAAACTTAAAAGTTCATACTAAAAATCAACTATATTATTGCTAAACCAACTTCTCATCACAAATTCACCAAATACGTGACTTAATTACTTGCATTTTAATTTGTAGACACTCCAAATATTTTTAATGTATAATTGTAGAGTACTAGGTGAGACAACTACTCTCTCTTGTGTTGCTTTGCTTGTCCTTGAAGTGACAACCACCAATTCTTGAGAGAGTCTATGAATAATTGCAGAATTGCTTTGCCCTTGGGAGCACTCAAACAAAACATGTGTGTAATTTGTCTACGAACGAGTACTGTAGGGTTTTGTTGGGTTTCTCTCTTTCATGTGAGCAATGGACCCAGCCAGCATTACATGGAATTCCAGATCCTAATGAAATGAAACCCACTTCACATAAGAGTCCAAGAAACTTAAATGCCTAATCAAATCAAGTTTGTCTACCCTTTAAAATCTAGTTATTCCCACTTCCCCAGAGGACCCTCTCTTTTTCAAATTTGGAAGCAAGCTCTCTATGTCGTTTTAATTAATCAATTGTCAAGTGGCGATGTTAATTAATCAAACGTTTTTTTTTTTTTTTTTGTCAAGAGATATCATAATTAATTAATCAAACGTTTACGGGTGAAAAGAAGCTTCTTTTTAATCCTCTTTTTTGTCCCTTGAATGAGAAGACTCGAATTGTAAAAAAAAAAAAAAAAAGAGAGAGAAGACTCGACTCGAGGGTCAAGTCAAGACCCGGAATTCTATAATATCAGAACCATTGTAGTCGGGTTTTGTTATTTAGGATGAAACCCAAGGTTGCTTCTTTATTAATTAAAAAAAGGTTGTTTCTTTATTTGTAGAATACGAAGCTAATATGTGTTAACTTATGTTTGATTTTCCATTTTAATGAGTTTGCACATATAATTTAATTCAAAGTTAAAAGATGTGTGCAAAGATTTGGTTTAATGGTACTACTACTGATTTTCAGTCTGGAGGTTTCATATTCGAATTTATCATGTAGTACTTAACAATAAGTAAAGTTTGTCGATGCACCTCCTAATTGGCATCGAGTACCTGTCGCATAGCCACAATCAGTACAGAGAAGGGTGAAAATGGTTCGTTCTAATAATCTAGAGAGCACAAACGAGTTAATTACTTGCAAATACGAATTTTTCTAAAATTCATCTCTCGAGCAAGGCAGAAACCATGCAAACAAGGTTTGGTCTAGTAGTAATACCACTGATCTTGAACTTGGAGGTTACAGGTTCGAATCATTTAAGTAGCACCTAACAAAAACAGTAAAATGATATTACTCTTATAAAAGAACAAAACAGTAATTATAAACATACGAACCTTTTCCCGACAAGTTATTCTCCACTTCCAATTCGAAATGTTCGAGAGAATCTCTTGAGTAAAAAGAAAAAAGAAACTACTCTCGTGATAATAACGTGACAAAAAATATCAATAGACAACAGTAGCCATGATTGAGACCTCCCAATGAAATCAACTTCGTTAATTCTCTCTCATACAACCCCAACCATGTATTCTAATTTCCTAACCAGGCGAATGATACACCCACTTGAGATTATTGATCTTGATAGCGAATTGTCGCACTGCTCTCAATGACTTGATGATGGCTTTAGGCTATTCCAACTCAAGACAAAGAAATAAAGGGTTGATGGCTTGATGCCCTATTACAGTTGACGGGCTAAGCCAGCTGTTGACTCCATTGGAAAAGCACCAAACTTTCCACTCAAAAAATCCAGCATCATACTTCCACCCTTTCCGGATTTCACCCATACCAAAACCATCGAACCCCACAAAACCAGAAGGGAAAAAGAACTTTCCCCATTTTAGATCTCCAAAAATGGTGCCGGGTAGGAATTCCATGGAGATAATAATAGCCAAGTTTAGCCATTGGTGGCCGCCATTGAAGAAGGGTACTCCTGCAACTCTCAGAGCCATCTTCTTCTTCCTCGTCCTCTTCCTTGCTGCCTACATCTCTTCCTTGTGCCTCGACACTGTAAGTTGATTCCCCACTTTCTTTTGTCCTTTTTGTCTGCAAAATAACTTGAGAATCTTCATGAAAATTTACCCTCTGTTTTTTTCTTCCCCTGCAGTCGGCATTTCTGTCCATAAAAAACGAACCTGTTCCCACTAACGTTGAAGTAGTCTTGGTTCGACCCGAGAATCTGACCAAATTGGAAGAACCCAGAACTCCATTACCGGCAAAGCTTCAAACTTTACCTGAAAGGGTACTCGAATTTCCGGCCATCGACTGCTCTGGTGCCGACGAGAGAAAGAACCAAACTCGAACCTGTCCTGACCGGGGAAAGGAACCCACGTGGGAACCCGCCCCCGGAAGCAGGGGAGAATGTCCGAGCTACTTCCGGTGGATTCACGAGGACCTGAAGCCGTGGAAGACGACAGGTATCACGAGGGAGATGGTGGAAGGAGGCAGGGGAAGTGCCAATTTCCGGCTGGTGATAAAAAAGGGTAGAGTCTATGTGGAGAAGTTCAGGAAATCAATACAGAGCAGAGACAAGTTCACGATTTGGGGGATTCTGCAGCTTCTTAGGAAGTACCCAGGAAAGATTCCTGATTTGGAGCTCATGTTCGACTGTGAGGACAAGCCGGTGATCCGACCGGAGAATTACTCTGCCGCGGCGGCGGCGCTGCCGCCGTTGTTTCGGTACTGCGGTGACAGGCGGACAGTCGACGTGGTGTTTCCTGATTGGTCATTTTGGGGCTGGTATAACATAATTTTTTTCTCCAGCAAATGTTTAATGTTCTGTTTTAGGTCCTCTGTTTTTAATCTGTATCTGATTTTGTCAAGAATGTTGCAGGGCAGAGATAAACATAAGGCCGTGGCATAACTTGCTGAAAGAGATGAAGGAAGGGAACAAGATCATCAAATGGGAAGAGAGGGAGCCTTATGCTTATTGGAAAGGGAACCCTTTTGTTGCTGACACTAGGAAGGATCTGCTGACCTGCAATGTCTCCGATAGACATGATTGGGGTGCTCGCATCTTCATCCAGGTAAATCTATTGATTTTTCCCTTCTATGATCTACGTGATAAATGTTATTGTTTAGATGAGTGGTCTAACAAGAGATTTGAGAGATTCTTAACTCATTGATTCTTATTTAACGAAAAGGGAATGCATTCAAGTTCATCGCGATTAAATATGCAAATTATGTGTAAGATTCCTTCTAATGGTTCCTAACGCAAGACTTTGATGTTCGTAATCAGCTAATGGATCATAGAGTCATCATTGTTGGCTGAATTTGGAAGATTTAATGATTTATGTGAAAGCCAATAGGATTGATCCATGTCGATCTGGTGTTGCTAAAATGTGATCATATAGTAACAATGGATCACCTTATTTATAGTGTAGTATTGGGGATGAAATTAATGTACATATTACATACATAAATATTCAGAATTTGAGACTATGTGCCATCATTTTGAATGGAGTGTTTTTTTTTTCTTCTTTCTTCCAGGATTGGTTCAAGGAATCCCAACAAGGGTTCAAGGAATCAAGTTTAGCAAAACAATGCAAACACAGATACAAAATCTACATTGAAGGGTATGCATGGTCTGTGAGCGAGAAGTACATATTAGCGTGCGACTCGATCACTTTCATGGTAAAACCTTACTACTACGATTTCTTCACAAGAGGCTTGGAGCCTCTCGTCCACTATTGGCCCATAAACGACAGAGACAAATGTAGGTCCATCGAGTATGGAGTCCAATGGGGGAACAAGAACCCTGACAAGGCACAAGCAATTGGGAGAGCCGCGAGCGAGCTCATTCAAGAAAAAGTCAGCATGGATTACGTCTATGACTATATGTTCCACCTGTTGAATGAGTACGGTAAGCTCCTCCGTTTCGAGCCACAGGTTCCCGCCGCGTCCGTGGAGGTTTGCTCGGAGGGCATGGCTTGTTCGGGTGGAGGTGAGGATGTGTTGGGGCTAGGGTTGGAGAGGAAGTTTATGTTGGAGTCATTGGTGAAGAGTCCTTCTTTGTCAAGGCCATGTGAGATAGGGCATCCTTTCGAGCCACAAGAGTTGGAGAAATACTATAAGAGAAATCTTAACACAATTAGGAGAGTTCAGAAGTGGGAGAGGCAGTACTGGCAAGATTTTGAAAAGCAAGGGTAGTCATTAGTGTAGTGATTCTTTCTTGTACCTTAAATCTTTACTTGACACTTATGAATTCATTCCTCTTGGGAGACATAAGGAGTGAAAATTGTGCACAGTACAGACACATTGAATAACATAAGTCAATTGTTCTCGAGCAACTTAATACTTAGATTCTATTGCTAATTTCTATGAAATAAAGCCATATTTTAATTTATTTGTACTAATTAGTTTGATGTTATTCAAATCAGCTAAAAACAAATAAAAGGGCCTACCTTTTAATCTATTATTACTATATTAGTTTAATCATTAATGTTGTTCAAATGAGCTCGTAATAAATGAAAGCCATATCACCTCCCAAGAAAACTCATTGAAAATGAAAACAAAGGGGTAAAAAGTAAAAACCATGAAAGTATGTGAGAACTGAGAAGTGAGAAGAAGAAGATACTACAATGGAAGAAGAAAAGAAAAAATAGTGGATCCCAATAGCATTGACCCAATATTCAGACCAGTCCAGTAAAGAACGTTGGCGGAGGTAGGGGGGCTTTACATGAACTAAAGGCTCGTGGGTCAAAAGCCCAAGTGAAAATAAAACCCACCAGAATCATAGTCCCAGCTTAGCCCTAAGCTTTGTATTCAGCTGCCCTCTATAATCTATACAGCTATTATGGGGATTTTTATACTTTCATATAACATTGATACATTTATTGAATTAGATCGATTTGTAGTTAAATAAATAAAGATACCATATAAAAAAGGATTCTAAAGTCTAAATTATATCCTACTTGTAGTGGAACTACACTCCCTCTAAATTCTAATGGTGTCATGAAATTGTCAAACTGAAGGGGTAAAAATGGAAGTTTATTGTAATGAGATTCAAACTCTATCAATGTCTTTATCATAGTTCGTTGGATATTATAGTATGGGTTAATTGCATGGTTGGCCACCGAGATTACAAAAAACATTCATGTTTGGTCACTGAAAATATTTAAATCCAATCTTGGTCACTCAAATTAGTGAAATTGTTCAAGATTGATCACTCTCCGTCCAATCTATTCAAGCTTTTCATCAAATCGATCTTGTTGATCCTGCTATATCCATACCTTAGTTAACTTAACATGACACATCACAAAATTGGCAAAAACACATTCTTACTAGCCAATGAATTGCATGGAACATGGACATATGATTTTTGGGGACCAAAAGGAAATTGGCAATAAGGCCGGCCATATGCTCCACCACCACACCAGTACAGCGAAAGGTAACCATGTTTTCATGTTCTTTGTGTTCCATTGCATTCCATTCCATGCCTTTTCCTTTCCCTTTTGGTAACCCATCGACGACTTTTCTAAGCTGATTATTACGGCCACATTTTCCGGCCAAAGAATGCCCCGACAAATGCTGTCAGCTGTCCTACAATGAATGATATTAGAAATGTGTGCAGATCGAGCAGCATCTATTGCATGCAATCATGTCCCAAAGTTTTGATAATTAAGATTGCGATGATGCCTTTGCCTTTGGCTACCAACCTGTTTTTGCTCCTTCGCTTGGGGACCATGTTTATGTATGTGCCTTCCGTTTTGTTATACGTATATTGATTTGTCCTTACAAGTACGATTACATCAAACTTACAACGTGTGGGGTATATTGTCATCATGTATTTGTTCAACTTCCATTGCCAAAAATAGATGACAATGTTTAAAAGAGATCGATATGTGTTTTTTCTTGAATCCACCATGTTAGCTAAAGTTTCTCTGTCAAAATTTTCAGTCACTGTATAGTACTTACATACAGGTGACAGATAAATCATAATGACGTTTGATTATATAAATCGATATCTCTTATCTTATGAGTGCCTGAGTGGTATACTTCAAAAAGACAACCACTTGTATATCAAGTATTTCATTTAAGGTGGATTCGATCTATTAAATAAATATATAATAAGACAATTTAAGTTAAAATTTTGTTAGGATTAAATGTCCCAAGATGTGACTTCATATTATACAAAAATATTTATAGACTATGTTATATGAAATTGACAAGAAATCTATCTCGGAATTTAGTTGTAATCTGATGATAAGAGCATTGACTAATATTGATGATAAGAATTAGGATTGGAATCCGACACTATCCAAAACCAACATCAGGCTTATATATCAGCAGGGCCACACCCAGGATAAGTAGAATCCGACAAGTTAAAGTTTCTCACTCACTCTGTTATATTAAAATAAAATTGTTCGTTGTGAAAATTTTAACGGATTGTTTGAATGGGAAATTTAACGGAATAATTAAATTTAATTATCTTATTTTGAAACCATTTGATCAAATTAACTTGTTTGTCAGTAGAAAATTTAGAGGAATCAATTTGTTTGTTGAATTTCGTGTTGATTGTCAATTCCAATTGTTTTGGTAGGGAGCATTCGATTCGAATTTACTCATTAGAATTAATTAATTTTATAAAATAAGACAATTGACCAAATTATAGCGTTTTTTAATTAATTTATCCAAACCAAATATGAGCTTTTCCCCATTTTTCTTTTGCAGTTGTCATCTTGTTGATGGAGGAACTTGGGTAGCACCACTTTGATGGGTCTTTTTCCTTCTCCTGCCGTCCCCCAAAAAATTATCAAGTTGAAAACTTGTATTAGGGATTTAGAGGACTAATATATGTAAAGTAAACAAAACAAGCCTGTGTGGCCAATGTTATTTATTTTTTACTTAATAAAAATAATTTCTTATTTATCAGATATTGTATGAAATATGACGTATTATTATTCAATTGATTATTTGGAAACTTATTGAGATGAGATGATTTGGAGTTATCCTGATGTATTCTTCGGAAAACATTCATTATCAATTGATCGCCATATCTATGGTGGACTCTTATTAGTTAACTGGGAAATGGATTAATTATTAATCCATTATAGTGACCAAAAGTTATTATTATGCTGTTTAATTAGGTTGTATGAGGAGGTGGTAGCTAGCTAGCAGGTCTTTCAATCCTTTTCTTATCTTAGCTAGTTTTATCTCGTTGAGACGGATGATGTCGCTGAATTTTTTGTACAAAAATCATGATCGCTCATGATCAGAAATATTATGACAATAAACGTTATATGAGATTAAATGTACGTATTTCACAGGAGATCGTACTACCAACTTTCCAGGTATAGGCAAAATAATGTAATTAGTTCTTCAGTTTATATTTATCAAAATAAAGAAACCACAAATTAATAATGCAAATTAATTTTGCACAAAAAAGTTTGTAATGCGACTGAAGAAAAATTGTATACTATCTACTATGATATTCAAAATAACAGACTGAAAATCTGCTTTCGAGAATGTATGAAAAGGTAGTAATTAATGTTGTTAAGATGAACTCTATAGTTTTGTCACACAATATTACAAAAAAAAAAAAAAAAAACGTTTTTGGTAAACCAAACCATTCCTTTGAAAGGTTCTTAACTTCTTATGGTCACATTATGATTGCGACCAAACACAGTGGGGGTGGAGGGGCGGCAAAACCCTTTATTTTGAACCAAACCTTTTGATTGCGAATGTGACGTTTTATCTAATCCCATTTTGCCTTAATAAATCTTATGATGACGATACTTTTAAAAAGAAAAACAGACGCGATTACATGAACATGTATTTAATTTTCCATTTTTTCATCCAATTAATCAAATCTAGAACCGTTAAAAATATATGTTAAGAAACATAGATTTAATTGTATTTTGAGACTAGATTTTCCGTTGACACATAGTTTGTTAGGGCCTATGGTTCACGTTTGAATATCTTATTCTCCTTTTCCAAAGGGAAATTGAAATTGTATATTTCACATACCCAAATGGGATTAATGGATGATTTGGAGTTAATGTTCGTCATTTTTATCTAGAGAGACGTACAAGAAAAGTTTATTATGCATGGGAGAGCGAATCAATCATCGGAAAACTGTGGGGTGGGATACTATGCTAACCCCTAAAGGGGTAGTGATTTTCAACACCCCCTTTATGATTGGCCAATTTTATTTTCAATCATTGGCAAGTATTAATTAAACTGGTTTTTTATTTTTTTTAATCTTGTAATTTGGGGTCTCTCACCCACATTGGAAAGGGAAAGAATATGAGGAATCAGAAAAAAGCTACCCCCCAAATGTGCAATTAATTGCCTTTTTTTCTTCCTTTCGTCTCCTTCTCTGTCCATTTGGGCCCTCTTTTCATTTTGATTTCATTTTAACCAGAACCCTCCTCTACTCTGAAACGACCAAAACCCTCCAGCGCCTTCCCCCACCACCATCCTCCTATCTCCAGCTGCCGCCATCCTGGGATCGCCTCTGACCTACCTTGTGGATTGCTCGCACCAGTGGAGTGGTACGTGTACCAGTGGAGTGGTACGTGTACCAGTGGAGTGGTATTTGTATCATTGAAGTGGTACTGCATTGTTGCTCCGTTATTGTTTATCATTGTTATGAAAAATATCATTGCACTGGTATTGTTCTCACTCTAACCTACCTTGTGGATTGCTCGCACCAGTGGAGTGGTACGTGTACCAGTGGAGTGGTACGTGTACCAGTGGAGTGGTACGTGTACCAGTGGAGTGGTACGTGTAATTAATGTACCAGTGGAGTGGTACGTGTAATTAATGTACCAGTGAGAGAAATTAATTATGTAATTAATGGGGGTGATTTCGTTTTTCCCCAGATTCTTTCTCTTTTCCAATGTGGTGAGAGACCCCAAATTACAAGATTAAAAAAAAATAAAAAACTAGTTTAATTAATACTTGCCAATGATTGGAAATAAATTTGGCCAATCATAAAGGGGGTGTAAAAAATCACTACCCTTTAGGGGTAGTCAAGCTAACCGATCCCGAAAACTGTGTGATATATGAAATTTCATCTAGTCTCGTTATACATTCTCATTTTTATTACAATCATTTTTAGTTAATGTCATTAAAATGTTATTCTCTACTAATTTCTAAATAATATTTCTAGCACAAACTACAACACTTTCGTGGTCTCTTTGTATCTCTTTTGGCTTGCCAAGTATTGCATTGTGTCAATCATATCAATAAAATGATTCATACTTGTGAGAAGTTCTCATGACATATTATATCGTCTATGCATTGAAGTTAAAACTCGAAAATTTAGGGTTCAAAAAGACATTGACATCTGGTGGAAACTGCATTAAGGAGTTAATTGCAATCAGCACAAATGAATCTTACATTTTGTCATTTTCTCGTGTAAACCAGGTGATGCAAAAGGGTCAGATATTGGATAGGAGACTACTTCATCACATAGCTGACAATGTCCTCCATGGCCTTAAACTGGTATAATATTAGAGGCTGGGGAGGAGCATCTTAAGCCATAAACTTGTAAGAAACCAATAATTATAATTTTTGTAAGTGCTTTGTGTTGAAGAAATCAAAATCAACGTATGGTTTAAGTATACTCTGGTAGATTAATCAAACTATATAAGAGAATAGTACAATTTAAAGGGGGAAATGAAATTGGGCGGTCTACTTTCTTGTTTGGAAATAGGAAATTAGGTCGTCATTGTCCTCCAATATAAATATGGAAGCATATGACGATCCTTCATTGTTCAAAGAAAAAACGTTTTCCTACCTAAGGAAAAGAAATGCACATGCAATTGTAGTTAAGGTTTTTCTTCGTCTTTGCTTTTTCTCCAAAAGTACTGCAGAAAAGAGAAACCGGCTCTCATCAATTAACATGCCTACCTGTGCTCCAAAATGTCATGTAACTTATTGGCAATAAAATGTTAGTGAGATTGGGTTAGATAGAGAAGGAGGAAAACTCACAAAATCATTGAATTCATTCTAATGATTTTTCTCTTGAATTCATTCTAATGATTTACGGTGACCGTTTGACATGATTTAAAGAAGAATATTGGGTTCATCAACTCGATATGGCTAAATCATGGTGCTCTTTTTTTTCCGTATGATAAGTCATCTCTTCGTTGAAACTAAATTCCCATGATCATGATCAACTTATTATGGTAGGTGACTAAAAAAACTCTAATTGGTACATTGGAAAACAATATTCTTTACAATTGTGTCACTAAATTTTGAATAAAAGTCACAAATATATATTTAGATCAATGTATTTATCCTTAGATCACACATCATTTCGTGGAGTAACTTACTTGGAATGGTGTCTCTAAAAGCCACCCCCAGTTTTTCAAAGTCCAGCTTCAGACTAATTATATATGGAGGATTCATTTAATAAGATTACTTTTAAATTGTACCATCCGTGGAGTAACTTGCTTGGAATCATTGCAAAGAAAGAATGTCTTGCAATAAAAATTTAATATGCTTACAATAGACCCTGATGTGTACAAGTGGGATGAACCAAATTCTCATTAAATTTGGTTTTCTATTAAAGGGTGCTTGTATATGTTTTGCCGTACTTCGCGCGAATACTCCATTGAAATAAAACGTTCTTAATGTTAGTTGAGTACCACAAAACAAAATTAGTAGAAACATGACCTATATACACTACCTTGTTTTCCTGATCAAATCGATGACATGTATATATAGCTATTAAAAAGAAGATTGGTCAAAATTGACATCCATATACAACAAACACACTAAAAAAATTAAAAAAATGTCATTGAAACTAAAATAGAACAAAATGTACATTTGCAACTAGTTACTTTCAATAATGCCTACATCTAATGTTGTTTTCTTGTTGCATAATGTAGATAACCATTGGATATGATTACTTTGTTTGGAGTGTAATCTTGGTTAAGCTTTCTCCAACAAATTTAAATCAAACATGTGTCGCATACAATTGTCTTTTTCTTTGTCATTTCTATCATTGTTCTAATTTCTCCAAGACATGGTTATTATTGCATTTTCTTCCAATTTTATTTATTAGGTACCTAATGCTTAAAGTATTTAACCACTGGCATTGTTAAGATTTCAAACACTTTTCGAGTGGTTCATTTTATAATTATACTAAGTTAGATATAATAAGTTAATTTTATGTTAAAAAGGAAAAGTGGTAGTTGTTACACATCGTAATCGTTGAATTAGTGTTGAATTTTATTATTTTGTGGTTTAATATAAAAAGGAAACCCACACACATGCATGGTCGCCTCTTTAATACGTGCGAGTGGAGAACAACTGTGAAATTGTGAACTTCCAATTTCCAACAAGAATTCCCAACCTTTTTTTCACGGCTAAATTACACGTTTGGTCACTCAAATTACGTAAATCTTACATGTTTACCATTCGAATTACTTTTCTTTCTTATTCACCACTAACTTTATGAATCCTTTCACCGGCACCACCGGCCGTTAGTCTCCGTCAAAGTCCGTTAACTCCGTCAGTTATTTGATGACATGACAAACGGGAATGCTGACTGGACCATTAATTTATGACATGTACATTTAAAAAAATGAAAACTAATAAAAATAAAAAATTAACAAGAAGGGAACGATTTGCTCCGGGCAACACTGTCCGTTCGACTTGCTCTCGCCTCCACTACTCAGGCGGCGGAGGAGGAGAAGAACTGCAGAAAGATGGGGAAACTGGCGGCGCTGAAAGCAGAACCAACGCTGAAGCTACCGCCTGCAACAACAAGATCGCATCTCCTATCCCTGATTCCCACATTTGGAGAACGCGGATTCGAAAGCGAAGGAATCGAGATCCAGATCCAGATTTCACATTTGTTGTAGCAATCGGTCTCAAGGTCGCGGCTGGAGCCGAAATTTTCGCAGAACTATTTGTCGAACGCCATCGTGGGGCTTGCAATCATCCTGAAGGAGGGGGACTTATTGCTGTCGCTCGATCATGTGGTGGTGGAGGTTAACAGAGTGGTGGCCGACCAGACGGACGGGAAGTTGAAGGAAGACTTGTGGTCTTGGATTGAGAGTACCAAGATTCCAACGGCGGCCGGGTTCTCCTTGGTGGGGGCATCGCGGCTAAGTAGTTCGCCTAGGTTTGATGTTCACGGGAATGATTTCAGGTAGCGGAGGCGGTGAGGAGTGGAGGCAGGAGCAAATTGGAAGGGAAGGTTACGGTGTTGCCCGGAGCAAATCTTTCCTTCTTGGTAATGTTTTTTTATTAATTTTTATATTTTTTTATTGACATGCCATTAAGTTAATTGTCCAGTCAAAAGTTTCGTTTGCCACGTCATCAAAAAACTGACGGCGTTAACTGACTTTGACGGAGATTAACGGCCGGTGACTGCTGGTGAAACGATTCGTAAAGTTAGTGGTGAATAAGAAAGAAAAGTAATTCGGGTGGTAAATATGAAAATTTTATGTAATTTGAGTAACCAAACATGTAATTTAGCCTTATTTTTTTTCCTTCAAAAAGGTGGCTGAGCTTCTCATATTCATAAACTTTACAACTTTGAGTTTCTTTCAATCCCTTCAATTTTGCTCATTTAATTACATTTCAATCGCAAGACACATAAAAGAAAAAGAGTGCAGTAGTTTCTTAATTTGTGTCATGTTCATTACTTCTCAAGAAAAGGAGACAGCTGTCACATATATTTATGGATTTTAAATGCCAAGAACCCTAGCCCCTGAGTTTCATCCAACTTACCACAATAGAGACAGTTCCACAACTTTGATATTTTTTTTATTATGTCAAATTGGGTTTGATCGACAACACAATTTTGAATGTTTTGATTAGGGTGATATATGTTGTGTTTTTAATTAGGTGTTACTTTATTGGATTCGAATTTGAAACTTTCAGATTCAATACGAGTAAGTAATAGTGGTATTACCACTAGCCACTATAGTTTTGAGCTAAAACAAAGGCTTTATCAGCCAAATTTACGAGAATCAGACTTGTTATATTTTATTGTCAACTAGATCTCAGGCAAAATGTCATAGTGATTGTTCTTTTTGTTAAAGTCTTCACTTTAAGGGTTATTGCATCAAAATTTATGAACAAATTTGTGGCGAAAAGACTAGTAATTTCTTTGTTCATCGGTAAAATTATCTTTGTTGTGCTCGAAGTTGCATAAATTAGAAATGTACGACCAACGATCTTTTTATATTCCTTGATTCTTGCGAACCCTATTAGAACTTCCTTCGTCATGGGCATGAGAGCAGAAGACATGAATTTTTGCTAATTAAGGAGATTCTAGACTCGATCATCTAAAATTCTTTTATATTATGACATCTAATTCAACAAAATTAATAAGATTGCATAATATTATCAATGGATCACTCCATTCATAGTGGTAAGATATTCTTAAAAAATAATTAGCTTTAGGTCACGACCCATCAGTCTAATTAGATTTATCCATAGAAACTAGAAAGCAATTGATTCCTTCCTCATCGTGCAAACGAACCGTCCAATGTGTATTCAAGTTTAAGCACAATCCCAGCAAGCTATCCAGTTCTTTCAGCCCAGGAGAGCAATTAATTTTTCATATGGCGAGGTAATTAATAAGTTAATTCAAAATGATTACATGGGTCTTTAATCTTTATCCAATCATTAGCTTTGCAAACCCGAAATTAAGTGAAATAAAATCCAATTTTTATAATAGTATATAACAATATAGAAGAGAAAAACCGGCAATTGTTTAACCTCCAGTCCACTCTGGCAGAGCAAAGTGGAAGGAAAGGAACAGCAACAAAATATTATTCTTCTTATAATTATTTCTCTTCAGTCTTTCGTTATTTCTTTAGATTTCTTTTTGGGTTTTCAATGGTATTTAGTTACGGAGAAAACCTCGCTTCGAATCCAAGTCTTCTCCTCAAATGCGTAATGCGCGTGCAGCTTCTCTTTTGGCCAAGCAGCGATCTTTACAGCCTCGTCTACCCTTTACTCAATCTTCCCCATTTCTTCTCTAAGCTTTGCTTTCATGGGTAGTTGCCAAGATCTTGCGGGTTGATACTCTGTAGCTCAAGTGTTTGATAAAACCTCCCAACCAGAAAAATATTAGCAACAACAACCAATTCTCAGTACATTGCTTACCGTATCCAAAGACTCGAGCTTTCTGCGTCGCACTCGGTTTCAGACTTTCAGTTCCTTTTTTGGTTTAAAACCCTTCTCTTCAAGCTACTTGCTTCCCTTTTTTCCGTTCTTCCTTCTTTTTCTGCTTGGTTCTTTCCTTCTCTTTCCCTCTTGCTTCTTCTGGGTCTTTTTCTTTCTTGGGGTTTCATGAGTTCATCTGGGGCTCCTTCTTCTTGTTCTGCTGTGTCCTGCTGAGGATTAGAGAGAGCGAGCGAGAGAGGGGGAGGGAGATAGTGCTGGAGATTTCTTGCAGAGGAAATGGAATCATTAACTCCATTCCAACTTCTTTCTGTTGTTGCCGCTATAACGCTCTTTGTGGCCTGCCCGTCTCAGTCCTTTCCTCAGGATGAAGGTATGAACTGCTGATTTCTCAGATCTTGACTCTTCAACTTGGCGTCAAGCTGTTTGCTAGCTGGGAAAGAGAATTACTTTTGTGGGGGCGGAAGAAAAGTCTTCGCTTGGTGGTGTTGTTTTGCGTTTGGCTGAGTGGAATTTGTGTCAGTTTGAGTACTAAGTGTGAGCATTGCTAGGCTTGTTTTGTTTCTTTGCTTATTACTGGTATGGAGAATCTTGATTCCAACTTTTCTCTTCTTCGGCGACTAACAAGGCGGTGTTCAAATCAATTAAATTGGCAGTAGAACTCTCTGAATTTTTGTGATTAGTGGGCGTTATATGAGGTGCTGATAGTTTTGTGTTTCTTCTTTAACTGAATTCTGCTGCGGACTTTTCTCAGTTTCAGCCCTGTATGCATTCAAGGAAGCAATTTATGAAGACCCTCTTCTGATTCTATCCAATTGGAATGCTCTAGATACCATTCCTTGTGGTTGGGCTGGCGTTTATTGCTCATCTACCGGAGACCATGTTTTCAAGATGTAAGTCGTGATCCACTGTTCCCTCTGCTATGACTACATTTCCAAATTGGAGGGGCTTGCCTTTTACATTGATCCATTCCTCATGCATCATCATTTGCCCTTGTCCAGAAACGTATCTGCAGCATCTCTCCGAGGGTTCATTGCACCGGACTTGAGCAGGATCACAAACTTGCAAGAACTGTAAGTTACCTTTTGCGTACATAATGAGCTATGTTCACTAGTTCACAAACAATGAGCTATGCTCACTAGTTCACTACAATTTTAGTCAAACATGATGGTTTGGGTGCTTGGTGTTATGTAGAATCTTACATGGCAACAATCTGATTGGAACCATACCGAAAGAACTGGGCAATCTGAAGCAGCTTAAGAGGTTGGATTTAGGAGCCAATCAATTGACGGGTCAGATTCCTCCAGAGCTGGCAACTATATCCGGCATCATGAAAATGTATTTTTTTTGTTGTTGTTGTTGTTGTCCCTTCTTGATTAGTAGGAAATGTTGAATTCCTGCTTACTAACCTTGGTAATCTTTTGGCCTGCAGAAACCTTCAGTCTAATGGGCTAACTGGGACTCTACCTACCGGGTTTGGCAATTTAAGATATCTTCAGGAACTCATCCTGGATAGGAACAAACTCCAGGGTACTGTTCCAGCCAGTACTGATTTGGCTTCCAATATGCATGGAATGTAAGTACAATATCCCTGTGCAAGTGCAATAATGTCATAGACTGGTCATTTCAATTCCTCTAGTTTTTACTTTTCCCTAAAGAATTTGATGCATCTCCTTAACTCCGTTTTGGATAGAAGAGTGGAACAAGAAAGAACAAGCTTTCTAGTCATAACTTCGTGACATTATTTCGCTCAACTGGTCTTATTGTGATCAGACTGTCTTATTGGCTTCATGGTTCCAATTGCTGTTATAGGTATACTTCAGCTGAAAACTCAACTGGTCTATGTCAAGCATCTAACCTCAAAGTAGTTGATTTCTCTTACAACTACTTCACTGGAACTGTACCTAAATGCCTGAGATATCTTCCGAGGTAGCTTTCTTGCGACTTTATGATTGATTAAAATTTGCTACTTTGCTTCACAACTGAAGTTATCCTAAATTTTGTTGTCATGCAGCACAAGTTTTCAAGGAAATTGCCTTCAGAACAAAGAGTCAAGACAGCGTAGTGCTGCACAATGTAGCTCTTACTGTAAGAATTTTTCTCTGTAGTGCAGAGTTTGGAGTGATAAGTTTGGTTCAGTGTTTAGTATAATAATGAAAGTAATTAAGTAGCAACTAGGTGAAAACTCTATCAATTCTTTATAGAACAGAGCTTGGATGGAGAACAATTTGATAGCAATATATAGCAAACTAGGGTCATCAGCTCTTGAGGCTGTTAGAGAACTTCTGATTTGAACAGTGGCAAAATTATCTCCAAAGTGTTACTATTTTCTGATAGTATTAAGTTTTCTTACAAGCATTGCCCTTTAATTATTTGAAAGTGATAAAAAAAAAAATTTCCTTCTGCAGCTGGTCCTAAACCTGTCAGACACCATCCACCATTTCACCCTAAGCACCCAGCTGCTGAAGCTGTTTCCTCCAAGGAACACCAGGGGAAATCAAAGCCAGCATGGTTATTAGTGTTGGAAATAGTGACAGGAACCATGGTGGGCGCTATCTTTGTTGTTTTCCTTTTCACTGCCTTACAGAGATGGAACGCCAGATCTGCTATTATAATGCCTTGGAAGAAATCAAGTAGTCAGAAGGAAAATGTGACTGTATACATAGGTTTGCTTCCTACATCAACCACCAGCATACATTCAGAAAGCTTTGACTGCAGTTCTGCTTAAAGTGTCGTTTCTTTTTGGCCCATTTTTGCAGACTCTGAAATGCTGAAAGATGTGGTGAAGTTCAACAGACAAGAACTCGAAGTAGCCTGTGAAGACTTTAGCAACATCATTGGCTCTTCACCAGATAGTTTGGTTTATAAGGGAAACATGAAAGGAGGTCCCGAGATTGCCGTCATATCTCTCTGTATCAAAGAGGAAAACTGGTCTGGCTACCTTGAACTCTATTTTCAGAGAGAGGTATGTAAATCATATCATGGAACTTCAAATTGACTAGTATTAATAGAGCTCAAAGTAAGAAGCTTTGCTGAAGTACTATTTGTTCAGGTTGCAGATTTGGCAAGATTAAATCATGAGAATACTGGAAAGTTGCTGGGTTATTGTAAAGAGAGCAGTCCATTTACCAGGATGTTAGTGTTTGAATACGCATCAAATGGAACCTTGAATGAGCACCTTCACTGTAAGTCAGGTTTCTCACTTCAAGTTTAAGTTCAGTTCCAAAAGACAGTATTCCTTCATAGTCTACAGCTGAAGTCTCTCATTCTAACCCTGTGTAGATGGAGAGGAATGCCAATTTTCTTGGACACGGCGCATGAGAATTGTGATGGGTATCGCTTGTGGGCTCAAGTACCTTCACACAGAACTTGACCCACCTTTCACGATATCAGAGTTGACTTCTAGTGCTGTTTACCTCACAGACGACTTCTCTCCCAAGGTACTCCACATCTACTTTTGTGGGAACTTTATGATACTGCAAGCTTTCTGGAACTACTACATTAGCAAACTATATAATCTTGGGATCATAGCATTACTTTAAATTTGAGTTTTGAATGCATAGCATCAATTCCTTATAAGATGGTTGCTAACCAGAGCGTTTCTATACATTGTCGGATTCAGCTGGTGGATTTTGAGAGTTGGAAGAGCATTCTTTCTAGATCAGAAAAGAATTCAGGTTCTGTTGGTGGCCAAGGTGCTATCTGTGTACTTCCGAATTCTATGGAGGCGCGCCACCTGGACATTCAAGGCAATGTCTATGCTTTCGGGGTACTACTGCTAGAAATTATCAGTGGCAGGCCTCCATACTGCAAAGACAAAGGGTCCCTTTTAGACTGGGTATGTTATATCAAATATCAAGCATGGTCCAAATTTTCCTAGAGCTCTTTTTCTAGAAACTACTTCATTTCTTCTGTGTCAAAATGGGGCCAAAAAAACTCAGGCACTGTTCTTTACTATGTGCAGGCTAAGGACTTACTTGAAGTACCGGAGGCAATGTCTGATCTTGTGGATCCTGAGGTAAAGAATTTCAAGCAAGAGGACCTGAAAGCCATATGTGAAGCGGTAAAACTATGCATCCATCCAGACGGAACGAAGAGGCCTTCAATGCGGGAGTTATGCACGCTGCTGGAAAGCAGAATTGACACATCTGTATCGTTTGACTTCAAGGCAACTTCATTGGCATGGGCCGAGCTTGCATTGTCATCATGAATAGAGTTTGAGGAAAAGAGTTTGATTGAGCTAACACACTGTAAAGCAAATAGAGACATCACTAATACTCATTTCTTTCTTTGGTTTGGTGTCACCTTGATTCTTTGTCAGGCTTTCTTTTTGGTTATTTACTCCCCTTGTAAATGTCTGCATGGCTAAAAGAGAAACTTGAGAGTGCTTCTTGCATGACACAAAATGAAGTTGTGCCTGCCATCCCCCTTCTCATTTGTAAAACCATTACCACCCCCAATTGGGACTATGTAATGGATGACTGATGTTGAATCACAGTAGATGTAGAGTTCACTGAACTCTTGTTGATGATATTTGAATGAGCAAGAGTTGTTTCTACCAAGTCTTTTTCCATCCCTTTCTCTCTCTGTGATTCTCTTTTGCAGCAGTAGCTCCAATGTAGAAACCAGCCTACTTGATATTTGATTAGTCTAGGAATTGATGAGTGAGGATTAGAGTTTTCCTCCAAAATCACTTTGCATAAAGAGAAAGCAAGGATCATTCTTATTCCCACTGAAGGCTTGAACCATGATGGCAACTTTCCCAGTTTCCATATTCAAAAGGAATGGTAAATTTTGACTTTGAAAATAAGAAATGGACAAAATGATTCCCAAGGACTAATGTTGGAGAATAAACAGAATCATTAAAGCTGTTGGTATACTGTTGTCTGTTGCTGTTGCATTCAAGTAGCAGAATGGGACAATGGGTCCATTTCCACGGCAGCCCTTCTCTATCCAAACCACTTTCTATCTTCATCCCCATGCTGAAACCAGATGGCCGTTCAATATTTTCAAGATTATGAATCCTAATCTGAGTTAGGACGATGTTCTTGTAGATTAAACATTGTAGTGTACCTATTAATACAAAAATTAGGTTTCAAGCCATGAATTATATGGACATGACAAGTGTCCAAAGTCCCAAAAAAAACCCTGCATATTTCTCTTCATTTTACAAATGTCATCAATTTTGCCATTTCCTCATTTCAGGCGCGACATTACGCGTGCATTCCCCTAGTTAAAAATAAAAGCTTGAAAAACACAAAATACGTGCAACCTATTTTTGAAGCTCCTGTATTTGTTCTTTGTTGAAATGGGTCCAACCCATATCTTAGAAGTCAAGTGTTGTTTTCTATGACAGCCTTAACCTGGAATTAAGCCAAGAGGCCAAGCAACTTGTATTGCAGGCAGCCGACTATTTCCTGTTTTGTCCACAGTATAGTGGAATAGCTATGCTTCCAAGTATCGTTACCTTTAAAAAGCCATGGCAATTAAACCAGATTACGCAGTCCAGCCACGATCAACGAAAGAGAGGCCATTCAGGGCTTCTATTCAACAGAATTCCAACGGCAGTTAAATGCTCCGAGAAGCCATTCAACGAGCAAAAAAAAAAATGCCGTCAAAAATGGGATTTCATTCACCAGCAGAACATGAAGAGATGTGCAAGAAGACATAAATAGTGACACGCCAAGGAGCCATAAAACAAAAATCCCAAGACCACGAATCAGTGCTTTTGGCGGGAGTAGTGATTGTCATTAGGGTTCCTCCTTCCACCATAAGCTGTAAATGCTTTTCCTACAGGTGGCTTGTAAGCAGACCTTTTGTCGACATGGCTGAAGATGTCGCCTGCACCAACAAAGAAGTCGTCGTCCTGAAAAGAGAGAAATTCTATCATCAGCCTTTGTTTTCATGATGCAGAAGCAAGAGGTTAGATTTACCATCCAAGTTAGAAAAGCTGACCTTATTATTAATTTTCTTCTTTGTCTTGGGACGAAGGTACTTTTGTGGGATTTGATCTTCACGCAGAATTGGGTTCTTAGTAATGGCGTCCCTTCCACCTTGTGGTAAAGGTAAGGAAAACTGCAGAGGGAGGCGAAAACAATAAGTTCAGATGTCAAGAAAGAAAACACCATCTCCAAACAAACGCTGGCTAGGAAAAATGAGTAACACATGTCAGAATATGGTGCCCTTTCTCAATTTAGAAGGGGCGGTGTTGTTGCTACTACCTCACATCGTGATGGAAATGAAAATCAAGACAACTAGATAGACAACTACCTTTGTACCGCGCAAAGTGATACGAGGGCGACGTGCAGCTAGAACTACCCCATTCTCACCAACCGTAACTGCAACTTTTCTGAGTGTGCCACCATTTCCACATTTGGGACAGAAGAGCCTTCCGATTTCACCAGTAACAGTGAAGCACGCATGACATTTCAGAATCCACCTGCAGATCCAAAAATATCAATACAAGGGTTATAGTACGTGATGACATACAACAAGATCAGGTGAGTGGACACTATATAAACTCAAGCACCAATTCAATACCTGTGAAGCTGCCGAATTTGCATCCCTCCAGGAGCCAGAAGTCGTAAACCTATTTGAAGGAGAACATTCTGCATCGCGAAGTCACCAGTAACACAAGCTACGCTAGACTCTGACAAGGATCTAAGCATCCAACTCTGCTCACTACTATCACCATCCTCGCAGTGAGTATCACAGCTTTCATGTGTCTCGCTCAAAGTCTCCAACTCATTAAATCCTGCATTTGGAACATCATTTTCACCTCCTGAGAGATGTGTACACTCATTGCCATCAGGGGAACTTTCAATCTCTCTCAAACCATTTTTTTCTTCATCCCTTTCCTGATGGGCCTCCACTGAATCTTCATCCAGCCTCATTTGTTTAAGGATTGAGGTTAGGTTTCCATTTCCATTATCCACGTTTCCAACCTTCTCCTCCTCGGGTGCTACTTTTGAAGCATCTGCTTCCGACCCTTGATTCAGAAGCTGGTCAGTGTTGCTTCTTTCTGTCTTGCTGCTATCAGCCAATTGTCCCTCCATATCTTGCTGAGACTCTTTCTCAGATAAAGCCTCATAGTACTCCCATTTAGCTTTCCTTCTAAGATACTTTCTATGAGTACTCTTACTAACCGCAGGCAGCCAATCGCCAGCATCATCATCAACTTGTCCTTGAGATGCATCAATACCATCTGCAACCATTTTCTTCCCTTCAATTTTTACCTCTTTTTTCTTGGATGGGTATCTTCTATGCTTCGGCCTACCATCCTCTACATCTTCATGATTCTCAGAATACTTGTCATCATCTCCTTTAGTAGTTGCAGTGTCGGCCTCGGATTTGTCATCATCTATTACAATAGTGTTCAAGTCTACATCTTTCAAGGGAAGAATTCTCGAGTTCGAGTTTGTTCCATCCCCAGATTCATTTTCTATTGCCTCCCACTCTTTCAAATTAGTAACATTAGAGCCCCATCCAGGCAATTCCTTCTCAGGCAACCTTTTTACATTGACCGTATGGACAGGTGGCGGAGCATCTCTAAGATGTTGAGTCCCGTGTATCTGCCCCTCCAAGGAGTATGTAAGGGCAATGAGTTTAAGATCAACATCTGACAGTGTCTGCAAGTCACCAGTTGCCTTCGCAAACTTGACAACTGCAAACGAAAAGAAGCACATCACTATGCAGCCAAAATTCCATCCCCATTTGGATGCAAGATATAATGCAAAGGTAACTAAGCATCTAAGATTCAACTGTCAAACTCAAATCTCCATGCAATTCACAAATAAGGTAGCATGGTTATGAAACAGATATTAACACCCAAAAGAGCTAAATTACAATTGAAAAGGTTTAATTCACCAATTTGATCAGCGTGTCAAACTACACCAACTTCACCAGTAACAAGGCAACCCCTGCTCGCTTTCATGGAATTTGTAAACTTATTTCCAGTTTTTACTGTTACAATGAAACCAAACACGCTCCATAAAACCCGACCTCTTGCCCACCAATTAACAAGACACCCCAAAAGAGCAGGAAATTCGAAAGGGGAAATTGTGAAAAGCCTGACCTTTGTTGAGTGCCTCAGGGGTCGGCTCCATTGAATCGATAGTGAAAGGGATGAAAGCAAGGCGGTGGCGGGAAACAGGGTCACGAATTTCATCGAGAACTTCAGGGACGGTGACGAACTTGTCGGCCAGGTGATGAAGCCTCTCTCCGCCTTCAATCACCGCATTGGCATCGATAACAGCCACCGAAATCCCTTTGCTCGACTTGCAGCTCTCGACAAACATCTGAGTCGCGCTCGTAGAGCTCTGTGGCTTTGGTGACGGCACCGGCGGTTGGCTCTTCAAGATATTGCTCCAGCACATCGGAGCTGCGACGGAAGATGACGAGTTCGCAGCGGCCTCCTCCATTGCTGCGGCGATGGTGCGAGTAAGCGACAAAGTCCTAAAACCAGACGGTGAGACCCCAGACGAGAGAGGCGGGGCTATGAATCTTCCGGCGATCCCTGCCGGCGGCGATTCTTCTTGCCGCTGCGACTGTCGGGGGATTGAGAAGAGGAAGAGTGCAAGAGAATAACTGGAGGCGCAGACCGAAAGCTGCTGTGTTGCGACTTGCGAGGGATAGGTAGGGTTTTGGCAATCTAGCAATAAAAGTATAAAACCAACTAAAATAGGACCCTCTATAAAATTTTTAAACGTACCCTTATGGATTCACAACTGGAAATTCAATGCGTAGGCTTAGTATTCAATGTGTATTCCTGAACAATTTCATTTTAGGCAAAATACATCGCCAAAACTTTCGCGTTTTTGTCATTAATATCCAATTTTGAATAAATACTACTTATAGTCACTTCCGTCCAATTCTTTACAACCTAGTTAAACTACTCACAACTCACAAGGTATGTTGTGACTGAGTATATACTTACAGAAATTGAGAAAAGGGGGCCCAGAAATTAAAACAAAGTTGGCTCATTCTCACTATCCAGCTACAGAGAAAAAGGGCCCACAAATTTAAAAAAAAATTATATGACAAATATCCAAACCACCCAGAATAATATCCGTTCACCATAACAAATATCCTCTAAGACCAATATCTAGTCAGCCCATAATTAATATCCTCACCATAGAGATTAATACCCACCACACACAGACTAATTATAACAATCGCAGACAAATATCCTCACCATAGAGACTAATAGCCCATAATCAATATCTAGTCTCCCTGCTCCCGCCGACAGCACCACTCACTCGTCTCCTAGAAGACAGACCAGAAGACAGCAGGCAAAAACAGGCAGCAGCTGTGCATTTCGGTTCTGGGCATTTAAACTGAATTCGAACCGAACTGAATTATAGCTCGGTTCAAATTCGGTGGGGGTGCTGGTTACATCGGAAATTCGGCATGTCCTGGTTCGGTTCGGTTTAACCGACTGAACGCCCACTCCTATCGCAGACTAATACCAACTACACATATACGAACCACCTAAACTAATCTCCATTCATTGCAAAGAAATATTATTGTTTCATGGGCCGAAAGCCCATGGGTCCTCGGCGGGCAGCCCTAACTAAGGTTGCAAGCCTTATGCGTTAGGATTTGATAGTGTGTTTAGTTTTGATGGAAGACACAATATCCATTACTTCGCAAATTAATATCCATCACATGAACATCATTATATCCTATCATCACATACTAATATCAGTACATAAAAAAAACAATCTGACCAATATCATTACAAAAAAAAAAAAAAAGAGAGAGAGAGAGAGAGAAAGAGGGTTAGAGGGTTAAAGGTGGTTGGGAATTTAATGGACTATCACTTTTTTTTTTCTTTACCCTTTTCTCTGTCTCTATAAGTATCTACTCACAACTTACCTTATGAGTAGTTTAACTTTTCGAATTCTTTAACGGTGTCAGCTAACAAGCTTACTGAACTAACAACTTTGCTGATTTGGAGACATTTCATCAATAATAATGCCACGTAGATTATTAAAAAAATAAAACAAAAATAATTAAAGACATTTTAATAAAAATTTAACTTGCACCAAAAACAAAAAAAACCCCAAAAATCTCTCTGTTCTCCACCTACCTCTGCTCCATCATCGTCCCCATTCTCCTATGCTCCAAGAACACCAAACTCTTCTCCCTTTCAAAGCCAAGAACCCCAAATCCCTCCACCTACCCTCTTCTGCCAAGATTATCTAAATCCCTAAAAAAATCCCCACCCACCCCGCCGCTGCTCTCTACAAGAAAAACAAATTGCATACTTTCTTCAAATCATCATCCTCAATCACCACGTCATCAATAACAATCAAGAAGCGGAGATGGAGAAGCAGGCGCTGTCGGGTTCAAATCGATGTGGCCCAATCCTCTTCTTCAACCCCTACTTCAAATCCATGATCAATCGCCATCGCCTACTCCCACCCCTTCCGTCGCGCCGTCCAGATCTGCTTTCCAAGATGAAGAACTTGTCCGAGGGTTACAATCCGGCGAGATTGCAGTGCAGACGCCATAGTCGGCAAGAAACAGGGGCGTGTCCGATAGAGGAAGTGGAAGTGGCTTTTGGCTATGGCGATCTTGTCTTTTGGTTACGACGATGGTGAGAAACATGAGCATTTCAGAATAGAGAGAGGTCGAAGACTAGACTTCCTCGCTGGGGTTCTCAAACTGGGGTCCTTGTCCGAAACAGAGGCGATAGATTCAGGGGCGAAGATAGGATCTACTTCAACTACTAATTTCGTCTTTGGCAGGGGTGATGAATCGACGACGACGGCAGTGCAGAGGACGCCAGAAGCAGCCAGATTCTTGTCGCAAGAAGACGAGAGATTAAATGAGATTCTGCATACAAAAAAATATTTTTTTTTAATTTTAAAATGTGACGTGGCGGCCATGCGTATGACGAGTCTATGTGGACATGATGTGTCCTCTAGGTGGCAGCCACATCAGCCTAACTTCTATTTAACTGACAAAATCGTTAACAATGTTAAAGTATTTGACGAGAATGGCTATTTTTATCAAACAAGTTTTAAAAATGTGGCTATATCAGGTATTTTTCAAAAGTGGCTATTATTGTCACAAACACGAAAGTTTTGGTTATACAAGTGTATTTTGCCATCTAGTTATTCTGCTAACTTGAAGATTCGTTAGTATATACTAACTAATATCCAAAATGTATGAACTAATATCTAAGTCTGCTAAGTATCTAGATAGCACAGACTAGTCTTCAAAATATCACAAACTAGTATCCAGATAGCAGATACCAACTAATATTCACAATCAACCAATTAGTATTCAATATGGATACTCTTATGGGTTATCTGGATACTCTTATGTGTTATCTGGATACTAATTATGTTATGTTTGGATACTATTTTGTGTTGTCTATATATTAGTTTGTGAATTTGGGATAATAGTTAATTCATGGTGGATATCAGTTAGCAAACTTTGAATACTAGTCTGTGCTCTCTAGATACTTTAGCACTTGGATATTAATTCATGAATTTTGGATACCAGTTAGTATCTGCTAACGAATCTTCAAGTTAGCAGATTAACTTTCCCTGGGTTTTGGAATCCAATTTCTATTTTGTTTTTTTTTTTACTTTTGACTTTTGACTTTTTTAAGGGATTTTTTATACTTATTTCACCCAAAATGGCGTATTTGCTTTTTTAACTAGCTTTATACTCGGTTTGTTGGCCGGACTATGGCTAATCTTATCGTATTGTATTGTATTGTTGGCCGATCTAAATATTGATTGGGTATATTTTTCTTTAGTATTTATAAAATCTAAACTATCAATGATCAAATCTCATTATGTTCGATCGATACGATCCAGTCAAAATGTTGTTTTGGTCTAATATGAACCAAATAGTTGCACATCTCTAGCTAGGTGACTCAAATCTCGGCCAAACTAGTATAAAATACAAAAATTGTTAGGATCTTGTGTTGACCAGATTTACTCGGTTAAATTGAAAAGTTGTGTACCAATCAATATTGCTGAAGAACACAGGGGTATGAGCCTATAGAACAGATCATGTTCAAGTAAGGTCGTAATACCAATCAATATCAAACTAGTATGATCCTGTTAAATTTATTATTTTCTTTACATACATGTATGCTATTGGAACCATAGTTGCATTGTACAACTAAATACTATTAGGATTATCAACTTATGCAATGAGATTTTATTGTTCATATTTATCGATTTCTAAGAAGATTATCTTAATGCTTGTCCAAAATATTTAGATTTATATATTTAAAACTAACCAGTATACCATTATAAAAAAAAAACTAACCAATATACGGTTCTTCAAAAGAGCTCAACTTATACTTAGGATTATCAACTATTTGCTAAAGCTAGCTTATTCAGTAAAAACATGCTCAACATTTAACCTACGTATTCAATGATAATTTAATTGTCTACTATTCAATCATTATCGATGGTTGAATTTCTTAATCAACATTGGAATCGCATAATGTTTTACAAACCTTGAAATCTATCTATCTATCTATCTATCTATCTATCTATCTATCTATCTATTTATCTATACATAATATTATGGCAATTCAAAATTTATTTTTTGCCACATAAGCACTTGGAGAGATCTCAAGTTGCCAAGGTGGATAATTTTTTTACCAAAAAAAATAGTTATTGACCTATTTATGGAGTTGTCCCTCTCTCTTCATTTAATATTAATTCTCTTTTATCCAATAATTATTTTGCTTTTGTTTTTGCATTATATCTATAAATAATATATGGACAGAAGGTTATCAAACCGGTTTAGCAAGTGGAATGATTTTACCAGTGGTACAACCGATTTGTGTCGGTTTATGTCGGTTAATTAAATATGTAGAAATATCAAATGAATATAATCATATATAAACCATATTTGAAGACAATTTACGTACAATTCATATTGATATTTGAATAAAATATGATATTTCAAATAAAATTACATGTACTCATACTTAAATTCACTAAAACTACGTATTTTACTTAGAAATTTGTAAAACGATCATACCGGTCATACCAATGGTGTCATGTCGATTTCATGACCGGTGTTGGTTGAATGGTTCAACCGGTGGCAAGTCGATCGACGTGACAATCATGATGGAGAGTGACATATATAAGATTTTTTTTTTTGCATTATATCGATATACGCAACAGTGTACTAATGTTCGTAGAGTGACATATATATTACACTTTTCAAACAAAAAAATATGTGTGGACAATTTTTTTACAAACAAAAAACTATTTATTGATCTATTTATGAAGCTATCTCTCTCTTCTTTTAATAATTCTACTCATTTTTACTAAAATTAAAATAAGTTAATTTTTTAGGAAACATTAAAACAAACAAACACATACATAATTAATCATCTTTTTTTTTTCAATTAAACAAACTATAAAGATAGAAACAGAGAGTGATATATAGTATTTGTTTAACTCAAGCTGATTAAATCTGATTGAGTAAATTTTCTACTCAATTTTACTAAAATTTAATAATAAGTTACATTTTGATGAAGAAAAAAAAACACACACATAAATAATAATATTTTCAATTAAACAAAATATAAACGATGGTCTAAGAGAAAATAAGCGTTTGATAATCAATCGACTTTGAGAAATGATCGATATGACTATATATATATATATTTTTTGCTATCAAACACTCACTTCTTTCTATTGTATATACCTATCAAATAAAACAAGTATAAATTTTATAGCAAAATGTTTGAATATAAACTTGATAGAGCAATAATTGTTATTTTTTTAAAAACTTCTTATTTATTCTAATTAAATAAAAACATATTAATTATCAATGCAAACTTTTAATTTTTTTATGTCCCTTTTCCCATTTTGATTGTCTCACTAGAAATAAAATCCAACTTTGAAAATAAGAAATCAAGAAAGTATGTCAACCACCATAAAAAATAAACAAAACCCTCTTATTAGTTGCTAATTTTTTTGAGATTTCTAATATTTGTATTCTCAATTTCTCATAATTTATAGAGAAAGAAATGGTAATGCATATGATTTTTTTTCTTTGTATGAGAATAGGATGCAGGAGTTACACGAGGAACGATTAGATGACAAAATTTTGAGCAGTTGTAACATATTTTTGTCTATTAACGAAAAAAGTTCATCTGATCATTGTGAAGATGAGGTGAACTAAGCCGAGGGTTGTCGACTACTCCCTCTTCCTCCTTGATCTGAAGCTGGAAACTGGTCTCACTTTCTCAGCGATACGTTATTGTTTGCGGTTGACTGACCGAGCTATACTCTTCTTCCCATTCTTTTCTTAATTTCTTCCAAATTATAACTGCTGGATGGTAAATTTTCCCACTCTCGATGAGTGAATGTATTTCTTCTTTGTTTTTCAAGGAGAAGGGTCGTCATATACTTTTATTTAAATATATAAAATATAATTAAAAGGGTTCATTGGTTGGACTTAGGGCATACCTCACTTGATTGAATAATTGATCGTTTTTCTTGAATGCCTATTGCAACCCGATTTCTTGAATGTTGAAATAGAAAGAAGAGTTGTGATGATTGTTTATTATATATTATGTTCATGATTGACATGCTACTAGCTAGCAATACAATGATGATCTGTTTAGTAATTAGTTGATAGCAAAGAGGTTACAAGTAGAAGGGAACATAATTGGGGTTTTATAAGGTCGCGAAGAAGAAAGAAAATGATAATGGTGGTTTTTCGGTTGTCTATTTCGATATTTTTTTAATTTCTACATGTTTGCGGTGACATTTGTTTGTTTCATTAAGGTGAATTTTTCCGCATTGAATCCCTAACTAAAGCTTGATTTTGACATGATTGTTTTCTTACAAACTACTATTTGGATTGATGCAAATATTCAGTTCACAAATGAGGAATCTGCATGATAAAATGAGTTGAGTTGTATTGAAGACTGCTCCTTTCATTATTTTTCTATGTTGTTATTAGGTAAAAATCACAATTCTTTTATGCAGGAGATATGTGATCTCTACAAAATATAAATTGTATTTAAGTATATGCAGTTTCATTTGCTGAAAATATTGTTTTAATAAGTTTGTGACAGCTGATAGTTTTGTTTGTGGTCGGTTTTCTAGAACATTTCAAAGGTAATTAAACGAATACGTGGAAGATTGATGGACGTGTATGCTAATGAGTTTCCTCATCATTCCAAAGTTGTATGTGTAAGAGATAATACACGATATTCATGGGATTTAGATCGGAATATTCTCTATTATCGTATACCCACATATGAGAAGGGAGAGAAAATAAAAAATTCTTCGCTTATTTTTTTTATTAATTGAAGCATATTTTCTTATTCTAACTTCTTCTTTTGTGGCTGTAAATTGTTTAACTTCTTTATCACAATTGTGTGCTAAAAATGAATAACTCTTATGTTTATAATCTTAAAGGGCAATTCGATAAAAATAAATTCTAAATCAATAAAGAACAATCTACAAAGAGCTTAGTTTATAAAATTAAAATTTTCATAAATAAAAAAAAAGGTATAAAAGTATGAAACAATACCTGAAATAAGGTAAGTGGGATTTACAATTCCATATATATTACCTTAACAAACATAAATAATAATAACAATTAGAATACTATAACGAATTATTAAATAACCAAACATGTATGCTATTGGAACCATAGTTGCATTGTACAACTAAATACTATTAGGATTATCAACTTATGCAATGAGTTTTTATTGTTCATATTTATCGATTTCTAAGAAGATTATCTTAATGCTAGTCCAAAATATTTAGATATTTAAAACTAACCAGTATACCATTATAAAAAAAAAACTAACCAATATACGGTTCTTCAAAAGAGCTCAACTTATACTTAGGATTATCAACTATTTGCTAAAGCTAGCTTATTCAGTAAAAACATGCTCAACATTTAACATACGTATTCAATGATAATTTAATTGTCTACTATTCAATCATTATCGATGGTTGAATTTCTTAATCAACATTGGAATCGCATAATGTTTTACAAACCTTGAAATCTATCTATCTATCTATCTATCTATCTATCTATAATATTATGGCAATTCAAAATTTATTTTTTGCCACATAAGCACTTGGAGAGATCTCAAGTTGCCAAGGTGGACAATTTTTTTACCAAAAAAATAGTTATTGACCTATTTATGGAGTTGTCCCTCTCTCTTCATTTAATATTAATTCTCTTTTATCCAATAATTATTTTGCTTTTGTTTTTGCATTATATCTATAAATAATATATGGACAGAAGGTTATCAAACCGGTTTAGCAAGTGGAATGGTTCTACTAGTGGTACAACCGATTTGTGTCGGTTTATGTCAGTTAATTAAATATGTAGAAATATCAAATGAATATAATCATATATAAACCATATTTGAAGACAATTTACGTACAATTCATATTGATATTTGAATAAAATATGATATTTCAAATAAAATTACATGTACTCATACTTAAATTCACTAAAACTACGTATTTTACTTAGAAATTTGTAAAACGATCATACCGGTCATACCAATGGTGTCATGTCGATTTCATGACCGGTGTTGGTTGAATGGTTCAACCGGTGGCAAGCCGACCGACGTGACAATCATGATGGAGACTGACATATATAAGATTTTTTTTTGCATTATATCGATATACGCAACAATGTACTAATGTTCGTAGAGTGACATATATATTACACTTTTCAAACAAAAAAATATATGATTAAAAATTACTATGTAAATTTCTGCTCATTTTTTACTAAAACTTAATAATAATTTACATTTTAATGAATAATTTAAACAAACATACAAAAATAATAATATTTTATCGATAAGGTCTGAAAGAAACTTGACAAAGAAATAATAGTTATTTATTAAAAAAACTTCTTATTCATTCTCATCAAGTGAAAACATATAAATCGTATGTGCAGTATTTAACTATTTATAATGTATCCTAAGTTCGCATTACTAATATTTTCTCTAGGTCATGTTGATTGAGAAAACTACGTTAAACATCACATTTCAAGCTAAGAATAATCTAAATTCGACGATTAAGGTAATAAATAAACATTAATGTTTTACTTCACATATATAACAAAAAAACATTTATAGTTACAATAGTGTAAACCGAGCTATTGGGTCAAAAGAAGAATATTGTAAATATGAATTTAGTATGAAAATTGTAACAAGTCTATATAGTTGTGAGCAGGCGATTCATACCAAATTTTGGCAACAACAAAAAAAAATGACATCATATTCCACCCAAGGAGCTGAGTTCAAAGGTATTAATTAGTGTTGAAAGTAAAATAAACTCTCTGTATATATATGTTTAGATATTAATAATAGATGTGTCTACAATACATCCAATCATTCAAATACATGTGAAAAGCCACAATGTTTGTATGAACTTTTAAATTTTGCTACAAAATATTTTGTTAAAAAATTAAAAGTTAATTATTCAAAGAATACATA